CTTTTTTTACCTTTTCTTTGAATGGAAATTTTCAGCGGAAATATTCAGAACATAATTCAAAAAGAAAAACAAACATTTTACATGTGTCATAGATGTCTGTTTGATTTGATTTGTGTTGATGCATCATGCATGAAGAGATATCAAGAAATAATCGTTAAAAAAACTTCGAAACAAGAATTGATTTTTTTTCTGTTATTAAAATATGAACTAAAATTTATTATCGTTAGAGATAAAAAAGCGAAAAAATATGTTTAATGTTTAAATCCTTAAATATGAGATGTTCTAGAGAAAACTGATCAAGAAATAAAATATAAAATAGTTCTTAAATTTACTAACTGATGTAAGTATGACAAATATTCAAAAGAGCAATAGCCAAATAATTGTCATTATAATTTTTTGTGTATAAAATGAAAAGCTTTTAAATTAAAAGGTAAACGTTTTATCAGTTTTTTTATTTGTGTGTATTATTTTTATGAGAAAAAACTAAATGTTTATTGTTATTTTGATTAAAATTCCAATCAATCTTTGTTTTTTAATGTAAGCTTAATTGATAATTTCGTCATATATAAATATATCTACAATGTAATTTCAAGAGAGAGGTTTGTAAACTTAATTTTCTTCGCCACCCACTAGTGAAAATCCAAGTTTGAAGTAGTTTTCAATACTAGTTTGCATTTAAGGCTTTTTGGGAAAAAAAACTCTTTCGGTAGCTCTTACATTGCAATGATTTTTCACAATATAAGAGTGAGCTTTTCGTTTCTGCATAAGTTATTTGAGTTTATTGAAAATAAAAAGACAAAAATGTTGAAATATATCTGGAATCTCTATTGTCCGTATTGATATTAACTGAACCTTGATCTGAACAATGTTGTGTTACATTTTACAGGAAACAATTTCCTATACAACTTATGTCTAATCTAGAAGTTTATAAAATCATAAAACATTAATATCTACATCCATACAGATTGTTTTAAAGCAAATTGTTTGAATTAATGCATATGATTCGATATATACATATAAATATAACGAAATGTGTTTGAGCGCTGGAAAATTCTATTAGTACTAAATAATAAAACAAAATCATAAAAAATCCATGAAACTTTATTGCTTTCTTATGACTTTGAACGATAAAAGCTTATATGTAACGAATGTTTTCAGAGCAGTTGAATGTTAATGCTTTCTGTTTTTCATCATTATTTGCTTGCGTTTATTCCCTTCGAATTAAGAATACTTACCTAATAAGTATATCGAAACTTCTTAAAATAGTTAGCTGACACGAAAAATAATGCCAACGCAAAGATGATTAACTTGACAATGTCTACAAATTTGAACAGACAATTTGCTTTTTCACTAAATATTTAATAACTATTTAATTTATAAAATAAATGTTAAAAGTTTTAACCAAATTATTAAAATCATGCAATATAATTAAATTTTCTTAAGAATTATGTATACAAATATGAAAACCCGCAAATAAGTAGATTTAAGAGATAGACGGCATTGTGAGATTTCCTTGTGCTATAAGTTTTCGAATAGTGAATTATTTATACTTTGAGTAGAATAATTTATGGTAAATACATACATAATAGAACTTATAAAATAATATCTTAGGTATGCCATTTGCAACACAATATGGAGTACGCATTCAATTTAGATCACCTTACGACTATTTATTTTAGTGTGATTAAAATTCTATACAATAAACGAATTCCAATCTAATAAGTATTGATTTTGTTACTTATATAAATTCCATATAAAAAATTAGAATAGCTTAATGAGTATTAGTTACAATAAATAATTGATGGCAAAAATGTGAAACTTCTACAGTAAAAAATGAATTAGTTAGTTTAATATCCATGACCTTATGAGAAGAAGGAAGAAATAAATAAAAATTTAATTTAATATTTTTTGTTACAGGCTAAACTCTTGGAAAATTCTTCTTGGTTGGGAGCCACACCATCAAATTTAGCTGGTAAGTGAAGCATTCACGTTATATTCACCACCACTCATACAAAATGAAATCATAAATTCTATTTATTTAAATAAAACTAATAAATTACTAAAGTAAATGAAATTTCAAGCCATTTCAATGACGCTCCCTCAAGTGTTCAATTTTTTTTCTTGTTCCAACGACGATAATTAATGTTCTGATAAAATTTATTTTATTCTAACAACTCCCCCATCCCTTCCTTGAATCAATATAAAAAGAAATTAGAAAGTCCATTTTAACTTTTTTTTTCTCGACCAAGTCCGCGAATAAATAACAGAAAATTTCTCTTAATATTGATTTGCCTTTCGGCTTTGCTTCGCTTAAAAAATTTAATTAAACTCTAATTAGTAATCCTAGAGGATAAATGTAAATGTGTTTCTTTGTTTAATTTCATTAAAATGTCTCCTTTGAATAATGCGTTTTAGGGAGTTTTGCTATGTATATCAAGCTCCCAATGTCGTTCATGATTCCAAATGGTTCCGTATTTTAAAGACGTAAATAGAGAAATATATTTTTTATGCTAAATGGTTGCTACTTATTCTAACTGTTGGCTTGCTGGGTGTGAAAAATGTGTGAACCTATAGGTATATATAAATATATTTATGAAAAAAATCCGTCAAAAATTGATGACTGAAATAGAAAAATAATGATCAAAGCATAAAACAGCTAATGTTAGTTTAAAAAGAAATCTATGAAATGCCGTTATAAGAAATTAAATTATAAACAAAATCTGTTTTAATTCTTCATCTTCACTGCCATATACTTTATACATATAAAAGGAAAGAAAAAAAACTCTCAAAATAAAATCTTTCGTATCCACCATCGCCGATTCATTTTTAATTCTTTTGAAGTAGTTTATTTACAACAAAGTAAATCATTTATACAATTTAATATAAATCTCCCTAGCATGGAAATCTTTTCTTGGAAATTTCGTTTTTGAAAAATAGTTAAAATGCATGTGGTATGTTTATATTTATATTACACAAATAAGAAATTTTATAAATAACAACTTTCTCGACGCGATACCAAGAGAGGCAAATGAATGAGAATGTAAAAGAAAAATTCATCACTCGACGATTGTGAGGAAGACGAATAAGCGGCATTTATAAAAGGGTCCTTTGATATTTATCACTACAGCCAGTTAAAGTTTTACTGTACTGAATCATTACGAGAAATTGTTTCACTAAGGTTCGTTTTTGATTTTACGACTTTAATGGAAATGCTTCTTCACTTTGAAGAGTAATTTTAATTTTCATCTATAAGATTAACATGAGGTCTAGACACAGCTATTGAAATATTGCGTGTGTGTTTGTGCGTAAACTTATGATGTTTGTATTATCACATTTAAAGATTTCAGAATAAATTGTATTACAACCACTTCAAAATTCTATAGATTGATAACGATTAGCTCCAACCTTTATCTAATAAGTTCTAATACCAAATCTTTAGAATTATAATTCTTTAGAGTTACTAAGTATTGAAATTATTTAAACACAGCAACTATAGTTTAGTTTCTTCCATAGTTTAACAAAGTCAGAAACCTTGTACTTTATGAGATAAGATATTATATTTGTTCGTATATTTACAGATCTCTTTCTGTTTTTTTTTTGTTATTCAAATAATGAAAATAAATACTATAAAATAAATATTAAAATATTTATTGTGGAATTTAAGTACAATGTTCGTAATATTATGAAATCGAAATGGAGGTCACACTGTGTGTATTCTTGAGGTACCCATTAAAATATTTAAGTTTTTTTTTCCTAGCAAACGAATTAAAATTACTTTTCTTAGTCATTTCACCAAATGAAGAATGATAATTTCTACTATAGCCGAACCCTTTTTAGAGCCGTCTGAATAAAAAGCAATAATTTTCATATAAATTTTTTTCTATCTCTCTCCCTCTCTTCTTTCTGTACTTATGACTTATGTTACGTTGCGTTCATTTCAATTATATTATATTTCTTTTATTGTTACAAAAAAAAACATAATAACAATAATATTATTCCATACAGCTCTTTTTTTTCAATGTGAAAAAAATAAATTAATATTGTAATTTCATATTTATTTGCCTTTTGAATTACGAAAGAAGCAAAAAAAAAACATTAAAATTGTATTCTTTTATTAGACATGTGAATCAGCAAAACAATAATAATAATAATAACTATACGGAATAATTACATACTTTCATAATAGTTGTGTGGCGTATTCAAAGTTTTACGTTCGCAACCTACTCTTACATCTTTGAAAAAATTTGTTATAGCTGCTGTTTCAAATTTTTCAATAGAATTATTTATCTATATTAATCTTGCCTCTTATGCATGCATTACTCCTCTGTGTATAGGAATAAGCGTAAGAAAGACAAAATAAAAAATATCGTAATTAATATAAATATATTAAATGTTCATGACTAAGAAATATTTTCAACCGGAAATTAAATAATATCCCATAGTTAGTTTTGTTATTAAATACGACGCTATAGCCCTCTCTAAACTCATTTTATTTCGAAATAACGTTATATGTATGTACATAGATACAAACAATTTAAATTTCTTTTTTTATATTCTTTGTTTTCAAGTCATATTTAATCTGTGAGGAATTGAATAGATGTCTTTTGTAAACTTTTGATTTTGAAATATCTACAATAAACGTTGTTAAAACTAACATGAAAATAATTCTTTATATTTTCGAAGTTTGATATTAAACAGTTGACAAACTAACTGACAACTTCCTCACAGCTTATAAGCTGGTGCAGGTTTCGAGCCGAATTTCTGATGCTACATAAGCAATTTAAACTAAACTTGTACTAAAATATTTCAATTCCCTGTATTGATAAAATGAAATCTTGAAATAATCTTTAGATAAGTGGATATATATTAAAGTAATAAAACATTTTTCACACATGTTTTATTTATTTTCCTCACTCGTGTCTTTCGTCTCAATTATTGCAAAAAAAAAACACAATACAACTCTTACATTTCAAAATTAATAATCAAAAATTAATTCTACAATGTTTCATGGTAATTACCGCATGAAAATTTCATTGTGCAAGTGAAACTTATCGTCACTCTTGGGTGCGCTGCTAAAGTGAAACAATTAATAGATTGTTAGCAAATGAATATAAAATTTAAATATTTTATATATCTACATAATTTTATCAGAAAATTTATAGGTAAAAATATACAGATAAGTAGATGTAGGAAAAACATAATTTTCATCGTGAAATCTCATTCTGTTCTGCTTTTTATGACATGCGAACAGCAAACAGAAACTTTCGGATGAATGAATTTTAATTCATACGAACCACAATGTTTTAATCATTCATCATTTTTATGGGTTGATGCTTTTACCATTTAGCGGTTGGTTTAAACTTTTTTTTTGTAGGTACATTAAAACGATTAACGTAAAATGTTTACTAAATAAAATAAATCATGTGCACACAAATTAATTAAACTTTTGCATTTCTATTGATTTAGATTTTATTTCAATAATTTTTTTAATATAATTAATGATTTTCTTTTATAATTCAAGCCGAAAGTTATCAATATCAACTTCAATCAATGTGGCAAAAATGTTGGAACAGCCAAAATTTAGTTCAACATATGAGATTTAGGGAACGAGGCCCTTTAAAATCATGGCGTCCGGAAACCATGGCTGAAGCTATTTTTAGTGTCCTAAAAGAAGGACTTTCATTATCTCAAGCAGCAAGAAAATACGATATTCCATACCCAACCTTTGTTTTATACGCAAATCGTGTCCACAACATGCTGGGCCCATCGATGGATGGAGGAACGGATTTAAGACCGAAAGGAAGAGGCAGACCGCAAAGAATTCTGCTAGGAATTTGGCCTGATGAACATATCAAAGGAGTTATTAAAAGTGTAGTGTTTCGAGATGAAAAAATAATCAAAGACGACCCAATGATATATGGAAGACAATCGGTGAGTCATTGCAGACTGATATCAGTCGGGCAATAAACTAAATTCTTAAAACTTTTTTCACAGCCCTTCCCTTTTCAAGACTCAGCAATAGGCTACCCAAACGGGTTGAATCAGCAAACAAGCTCAGATACAATGTCGCCTGATATTCTCGCTGCTGTACGTCAACAAATGTGCAATATGGTTGATGCCGCAAATTTCGTTGCTGGCTTTAATCTTCCTCCAAATATGACAATTCAATCGATGACACCTCCAACAGTAGGTAGTTCCAGCAGCAATATTTCAAATCCAAAGATAGGCTCACCTGCTATATCAAATTTAAATAAAAATGGAGGTGAGCCAAGTAATATCTTACAAATGCCAAGATTGGCTTCACCAGCTGTACACAGCTTACCGAGCGAATTATCTTTGCATGGCTTACAAAACTTATCAACAAATGAAGAAGAACTGTATAAGAAAGAAAAGATGCGAAATAAAAGAGAAAATGAAGGTTTATCTCAAATTGAAGGTCACCAAAAAAGTTTAAGTAACAACCGTTTGAGCATTACTAAACTTCACTCACCTAAAACTCTTAGCAAAAATCTCCCAACTGAGACTCATGAGCCGGCAGCTAATTTAGTTCATAGTGGGCAATCCTTAGACATGACGTTTAAGTCATCAAGAACAAGTAGTGATGAGAGCTTCAACGGCGAAGATCTTTCTCCAAGATCTTATAGAGGCTTCAAAGATTGTTCACCGATAAAACTTGAACCCTTAGCAGATTGTCGGGATTAAATTTTAGTTTAAGACAATTTCTAAGTAAAAATATTTTTTATTTTATTTCATTACTAAAGTCAGGAGTGAAGTCAATATACTTGTGTATAAAGACTCGATAATAATAAAATCCTAAAGTATTAATGGAGCTATCTTACTTGTTTCTTAGTCAAAAGCTCAGCTTCGACAATTTCAATAGACAACAAAAAATATTCTTTTCTGTTTGACTATAAACTCGAGTCGAACCCTAATTTTCTTTACATAATAATTCACAATTAGATTTTAAAGTTTCCATACCTCATCGAAATGTTGAAGCTAAATATGTAATGAAAGGGAACGATTCCCATACACACAACTTACACATTGTACATTGAATTATTATTACGATAGGACTAACTGAAACAAATCAACATAACAACACAATCTATTGCTTTTAATGTTCCACATTGAATGATTTATAAATAAAAAAAAAGAAAAGGGCAAGAAAGATAATGAAGAAAAATAGTCAAGAATTATTTAATAATTTAAAATACTGTGCTTTATAAGAACATTTTTTAATTTGAAAATATTTCATTTCATGGCAATGTTTCGTACTAGATGTAAGCTTCAGGAAGTTTATAATTTCTTTTCGGGTCGTGTATATATATTTAAGCAAATAAGCAAGCATACACAAAAACACACACGCACACAATTTAACACATATTAAAGTAGCATAGGATTTATTTATGCGTAAATTAGAATTTGTGTATGTGATAATTCATTTCTAAGTTTTAATATGTTTTTCATTGAGTAAAAGAAAACTTAAGTATTCGTTTCACAGTTAATCAAGATGATTCCCTTGGCATCGGTCACTTGTAGAAACAACGGAAAACAAACCTCTTACTTGGTCATAATTCATTAAACATATTTTTACACTACTCTTAATATTTTAGATGTTTAGAAGGAAAAATTAAAAAACCGCAATCGCTACAAATAAATATTATTGCAGTCACCTAGAAACATATGAATATGAAGAAACTTCTTGAAAAATAATCTCTGAAACAATTTTTTAAACATTCCGGTCTTACATTATATTTACTGTTCGAATCCTTTTTGACTTTTAGCAAAGGACGCATTATATGTACGTACAAAATAAATATCTAAATGAAAAAAGGAAAAAGTTTTTGGATGAACCCTTTGGAAAATATAAATGTTTGAGAAAACTCGTATATTTTGATGAGAATATATTTTTCTCGCGACAAAATTACAAAACAAAATTGCCTTTTTATGGTTATAAGTGTTTCAGTGATTACTAATGATGTTTTTAACTTTATAATTTTACAACCACGTTGTAATAAATGCGTCGGGCATCACGAAAATGATGTAGTTTTGTTCGGTTGGGGAGTAAAAGTAAAAGTTTAGGAAAAATAAAAATTAACAGTTTTGGCGAAATGAAATTTTTTGTATTCAAAAAGAAAGTGCCTTTTCGGAAACTAAATTTTAACTCTAAATATTTTCTTAGTTCAAATTTAAAATTCTTTGGATGAAAATGAGATGCCCGCATGCTTTCCATGCTGCAAGGAGATCTTTAAAATATTAAGGGAGAAGAAAAATAAAAAATAGTCGAAATTTCTAGAGAAACTATCTACACAAAAACATTAACTTGTGAAAAATCTTCTTTTGTAATCAATTTATAAAGATATAAAATCTTTTTTCTTTCTGATTATTGAGAATTGAATGAAAAAAAATTAATTCTATTATTAATTATATATTAATAAAAAAACTCTGAGAAAAATTCACACAAACATATTCGATACATGAATACATCCGTCTTTACATTTATTTTTTACCGTGGGAAGAAAAAAAATCACATTAAGAAGTAGAAAAAATCTTTAAATACCAAAAGATTCGAGAAAGACGAAACAAAACCTAAAGTAATAATAAAAATGAATTAATAACTGAAAGAACAGATTTCCGAGAAAGAAAAGAAACAAAAAATGGTAAATTGGAATGAAACAAAAAAAATATTAAATAAATAATAATATGAAATTATATGTGAGTGTTCAATCTTTTTTATTTAATCTTTTGTTCTCTTCAAGCTATTGTTTCATAATTAGAGCTCAGCTTGAATTTCTTTATCTCCACCAGAAGAGATTTTTATTTGGATTATCTTCAAGTTGTAAGTAATCTCGTTATTGATAACTTTGATTTCTAGCCAAATCAAGATCGTTTATTAAAGCAAAAATTAGCAATGAATAAATCTCAAGACGTATAGACCATTTTTTGTTGAAAGATTATTTTTCGATTTATATTGTTATTATAGAGGAATTGATTTTAATCTTTCAGGTGAATAGTATCGAGTTCAACAACCTTGTAAGTCCCGTTTTCTTTACTTATAAACACTCCCTGAATTATTCAAACAAAAGTGAAAAAAAAAGTATATTTATGTACATACATATTTAAAGCATCATTAACTCTCTAGGTGAGATCGTGTTTCGATAATCATCTTACATATATATTCATAATCCTGATAAATGAATTGTTGCCAAAATCAACCACTTTCTTATTTGTCTTGATTCAAAAATAACTTGCAGTTTAATTGACTATGAAATTTAAGTATTGCATTATGTTAAAATTAAACATACTGCTTATTTTAATCACATCTAATATAAATGTTTCTTTCCCCATTAATTCCTTCGTATTCGTTGTTTTATAAGCTTTAAATATGATTAATATTAATTCGTGATTACCTAATACTATGCTATGAAACAAATTAGATATTTTTAGCAATCAAATGTTCATCTTTAAAAAGAGTGGAAAGAAAATTAATAGATACATTTTTTCTTCTACACATTTCATTGTTCGTTGGATGATTGTGAAACAGTAGATATATCTATTTTTTGTTATTGTAAATAGTAGCATTAAATTTTGATTTCTCCAACTTCCAAATAATTATTTTTCAGGGAAAGGAGCGAATGTAAAGATTTGATTTCCAGAAGCTTAAGTAAATCACCATTAGAATACCATCAGTTAATCAGTTACTTTTTCCTCCATATCTGGACTGTAAATATTCAATTTTCATTAGAACAAAGGCAAAGCAAAGTAATTTAAAAATAATTTCAACTTTTCATCCGACAGTAAAGTGTTTTTTACAATTTGCTTCGTTTTTATTTGAGACTCTTTTTTTTCTTATTGTCCTTGCGCGCTTCAAACTTTTTTTTTATTTCGAAAGAGATGGAAAAATATTATTAAATTATGAATTTTTTTAATTAAAAAAAACGTAATGAATATATAAATTCACGACGAAAATAAAAATTAAAAGAAAAGTTGGGGAGAAAACGAAGAACAGAGAAAAAAGGGAAGAATTTTACTTTATTCTAAATTAATAATTATAGCAAGCAGACCCCTTTTTAATTTTTTATACTGCTTCGCCATAAACATCACAGAAACTCTTTATGTAGGAGTCGTGTACATAATAAGTGTATACAAATATGCAGATATTTGAGAAGTACATTACTTGGTGTTTGAAATACTTTCAAACTGAACTTTTAAGATGCATGGACGAAATGGAAAAAGCTTTTTTGTATGTTAATTGCATTTAAAAATCATAATGAGTCATTTATAAGAAATTATGCTTCGGACATTCATTCAAAAATCTTCGCTTACGATGCTTCAAATGAGCTTTAGTCAAGCAACGATATCAGGCAGTCAAATTGGAACGATAAAAATCGCAACCTGGCTAGTCGAAAATTGGTCCTAAAATGATTATAGAAGCAAATTTCTACATCTTTAAAGATTTAGTTTTTCTTTAATAAATATGTGATTTGTTTACTTTTAAACATTACATTTATTGTATACAGAATATAAATTGTATGCTAAACTGCCTCTATGTTTAAGTAACAGAGAAAATTTGAATATATTGTTGAAATGTTTTAATAAATAAATAAAACTTACAATTATGAAGAGCTCTTTATTTTATACATTTGAAAGTGATATAAAATTTTATTGCTTTCAAAATTTCATCAGAACAATCAATTTATATTACGCGTACTCAAGCATTTAAGTTAATGGTTGAACTGTGTTTTAGTCGAAATACAAGTTAATATGGGTTTTTGTTTGAATCAAATGCTCGATTATGTGTAAGAAGATATTATAAACATAAATGTGATTCACATAGCTACAATTTTATATTCATAGTTTACCCTACAAGTTCTGAAAAAGTCTGAAAATATAAATATATGAATATCTAAATTTATAAAATTAAATCTGTGAAAAAAAGTTTAATTCTTTATTTTAGATGCAATAAAGTCATGACTATTAAATTTTAGAACTAACATGTTTATTATCAACTATTATGACATTTCTTTAAACTATGATCACTACCACAAAACACAAATATCTTAAATAGCATACGAGCAAAGATTAATTCCTTAACTACAGAAAGTGTAAACTTCATACTTGAACTACTGATGATGGCGGTGAAGTATAAAAAATGTAAAATATAAAAATGTATAGCTTTTAAAATGGTTTTATTTTAATGCATATCTTTATGATGTAAATAACAATGCCTCTTTTGAGTAAACGCAACACTTTGATGTTGAAGGATCCTTGCACATGCATATAGAAAAGAAAAGGAAATTAAGTCTGTTTTTACACATTTCTAGTATCAAGCTTGCTGATTTTTTCACATATCAAAGCATATCCATTAAAACTGCATTTCTTTACATTTTTTTTCGAATTTAATTTCTGTAATAAATAATAATAATGAATAAATCTTCACAATATTTTATAATAAATAAATATTTTACAGTATTATGCAAAATTTCTCTTTTTGTCAAACGTTTTCATGTCATGTTGAGATTCAAAACTGTGACATTAAAAGTTACATTAAAACTTAGGTAAAAATTAGGAATTCACGAATCAATCTTCATAATCAAGAAGATATCAAATTTACGTGAGATTTATCAAAATTAGGTACTTGTCGACGCAAAGCAAGCCTCCAACATTTCAAACATCTGGAAACAATTTTTTGTTTTGTTGCAAAAATGAACCAAATTTATTGGTCAATATTTTGAAAATAAAACAAGAGACGTAAGTTAGAAACATGAATAATTGATGCATTTGTTTAATCTTTGCTTATTATTGTATCTTCTTGAGATATTTTTTTTTAATTTTCTTAACTATGTGCTCGGCTTGTTGAATTCCGAATAACACAACAGGGCAATGGCGCATTTAAATCGCACTTAGGTATGCCATAAGTCTAAAAAAACATTGACATTTGCCAAACGGACAACTTAAGTCGTCCTCATGGCACGTGTGTGCTATTCGGGAATGTTTCCTTCCTATCTTTGATATGAGAACTTACATTTATTTAAGAGAACGTATCTCAAACTATTCTATTATTCCATAAAATAACTCGGAAACGTGTCAGTAACGTGTTAAAATTATCTTCATTTAAATTTAGATTTCTCTAAATCCACATGAGCAGAATAAAATTTGGGATGCAAATTAAAATTTACGCACAGGTCAAAGAGGCAAGCAAAAACAGTTTGCTCTCTAGGATTGAATAATATAGAAATAAGAAAATGTAATTGCTCTGTTAGAAAAACAATATTTTAGCAAGTAAAAACGCACCAACAGAGAATAATTTGAGGTTTGATGATAGCATTCATTATTAATTAGTGAACACATTGCCCGAGCAGCACAAGAGGCGTTTTCGTTTTCTAATCAAGTAGAGGGCTGCCGCAGGACTAAAATATATTGAAAATTGCTAAAAGGCAAACAAATCGACCAAATGAACCGTCAGTGCTACTCGGACATTCTATCATTGTGCTCATTTCGTGTTAGTTGACGCTTTTTGAAGCACTCAAGATATTAAAAAATATTTATGATTGCTATAGATAGTCCTTTCAACATTCATCTGAAGTTTTACAATGATTTGTTTGGCTTCTAGTTTGTCTAATTTTATTAAAAATTATTTAAAATTATAACAGAAAAGCTTTAATGTTAAATATCTTAAATATATTTTGAAAGCTCACTTAAAGGATAAAAATTAAATGCTTTAAGACAATCCATTGATGGCGCTTAAAACTTTTTTTTCCGAAGTTGTAAAAGAAAATAAATTATGAAAATAATAATATGAGAAGAATTAAAGGAGCTCACGTTGTGTTATGGCAACTACAAACATCTCCATCTTATATAATATCATCTCATCCCTTCTTAGCTTCTAACTAGAACCAAGAAATGTCAACTTCATGATAGACAATGAGTGGACGCATAACGGGTGGTTGCAACAGTCTTCGATTTGAATTTCTCGTAAGAGTAACTCGTCCCGGACCTGACAATGATGATGATGAGAACCTAATGCTTCACCTCAACCCAAATAATTATTAAATTTTATTACTTCGTCATCATTCAAAGAGAATTTTTTCAATCTGAATGATCAGTTTTATGATTTTTTAAAATAACTCGTACTAAATTTTACGAATGATTTTATCTACTTTGACTAATCGAAAATATTCTTAGAAAATTTTAATTTTTATTTAAATTCAATAAACAAGCTTCATAAGTTCACATCTGCCAATGTTTTGAATGGAAACGCAAATATTAGTATTGAATAAAAAAATCTAATTCAATAATTTTAATTCTAGTTTCGGTTTTCTAAGGAGGGTGGAACTAGGAATATACACTTGAAGTCATTAGATATTTATAAGTTCGAGGGCATGAAAAGTAATTTGCGGGAAAACGAACAATCGATTTAAGAGTTGCGTTGAACATTTGACAGTAAATATTTCTTGAAAATTTTGTTAGAGTGACTTTAAAGAATTATTTAAATGATTTTATAATAAATATCTACCTAATAGTAATCATAAAAATGAACCAGTGTTTAAAACTTAGAATTTGTTGTTAATATAAGTAGATAAATAAAAATTATTTACTCTTTAGTTTTCTTTATCACAACTTGTGATTTGATTCGGCAGATCAACTTTGTTGAGAAAGAAAAGTTCCTCAAAGAAGAACTCAAATAATCAAATTTTGTTTTAGTAATTTATTTAATTGCGTTTCAAATTCGATCAACAAAATGAAGGAAGAAAAAAAGTCAAACGGTGAATAATAATTCAATGGGATTTTTTCCTATTCGTTCAATTTTCAATATAATTATTTTATTTTTCAATTGGTTTTTCATTTTCCTGTGTAAATTTAAAAATGGCAACCAGAAAATCTCTTGTAAATTTGGCATTGATAAGACAAATGTAACGAATAACGCAAGAAAAAATATTTATGTAGTAGAGTAAGAAATGAGTAATATTCTTTATAGTTTCACTTCTTACTACCATTAGAAACTAGAATATATTTTAATAAAATGTAATTTCTTTCTGTTTTTATTCAAAAAAATAATTGTTTTTAAACCTAACAGCGGTTTTTTAACTCCTGTTCTAATCAAAATTTGCAACGTGGTCAATTCTCTGTACGGAAATAAAGCAATTCTGTTTACATGCATATTTTCCAGATTAATATTATAAAAGTTCCAGTTTTATATTTGAAGGAGTTTATTGAATACTTTCTTCTCCCGTTTTAAGACATGAAAATTTCATTTTTGCAATAAAAAACAAGCCTCCATTTTTGCAAAATGTCAAACTGCTTTCGGGTTGGTATCTAACAAGAAAGATTAATGCGTAGAAATTGAACTCAAATTGACTGGAAACAACCAGTAAGGTATCAGCTCTTACATGTCTAGGGTGTTTCATCACTAAGTAGGGAAAAATAAAATTTGTCAACTCATACCTACTTCTCAACAATGTATTTCGTAAAAAAATCTATGAACATCTTTAAGGATCGCTAGGTTGCTTGAATTTCTTAATAAATTTTAGACACAGATTAGAAGAATACATTACCTAAGTGTTTTTTTAATTTTTAGTTATTTACATGGAAGGTTAATCTATTAACGTACAATATTTTAGAAGAATTTGATGAAACATGTGATAAATTTCAGAATTTAATAAGGAAAATTAAAACAGGAAAAAATTGGAAATGCAAAACTTTGGAAAATCACAGATATCTTTGAAAATTTTTCGCTGATATTCGGCCTTGTTCTAATCATTGAAAATATATTTGAAAATATCTCATAATCCACACATGCTGGTTCAAAAAAGTATTTATAACAAAATATTTGATAAGTGTTGTTTGTAAAGATTTGCATCACCGAATCAAAGTTTTTAATTTATAATGGATTGAAGTTGCAAATGTTAAAACAAAAGAGTTGTAATTTTCAAACATAAATTAAACAACATCAAAAAGAGAAACTTAGATTCTGGATCAAATTTTAAATTTATGTTATCAAACATTTTACACATCTGGATTTATAAAATTGTTTAATGATGTTCTTGTTCCTCAACGATTAACAAAAACGTAAGTTAACTTGATTTTATTGCAGTAAGGTAATATGTATCTAAATATCTCAGTTTAAAAAATCGTTAAAAATTCAAAAAGGTGACAGACCGACTGGTAATAACAACCTAACACTTCATTATGATAAAATTAAGACAAAATCATTTTCATTTAGAATACACAGTAAACACATTTTATTTCGCAAGCGAAATAAGTAGAATATCTTCTAATCAATTATTAGCAAACTTACAAACATCTACTGCATATGGCATAATCAAACTACTCTAATATATCGATTTAAATTTGTTAAGTATTTTAAAGATTGTATTTCAGTAAATAATTTTGTCTTAACTTAATTGAACTGTCTCTGAGAAAAATAAAAAATATTTCCCAGATATTCACGAACCAAAAGTGTTTTAATAAGACTTCAACATAGTGAAAAATCTCAGTGTTAATAAATGAATGTAATTAATTCAACTGTGATTGAGTAAGGTGATTATATTGAAGTTAAATTCAGATTATGAAAATTTCCATATTTGATTGAAAAAAAAACATATTTGCGTTTTAAAAACATTTATTCTGCAAAAAAAACTGAAGATATATTTTGAAGATTCAATGCATTTTCTTCATTACGTATCAATTTAACTTTCAAAATAATACGCAAGTCATAATCAGATAAAAAAAAATTATTTTATGTCGTATTTTTTTACCTTAAAAGTACCGTAATTTGGTAATCATTAGTAAGATTCTGTAAAATAAATTAACAGATTTAAAAACATTATGTTTTATCTTTTTAAATAGTAAATAAATCTTCGAAATCAAGAATTGTCTAAGATGTATTGGGATACAAATTATTCGAACTCCGTAAACATAGTAGCGCTTTTGAACAAAGAAAAGTGCACACTGAAGGAGCTTCTGGAAGATGAAGATATTTTGGCAGAATGCAAATCACAAAACCATCAACTTGTTAAATTGTAAGCTTGACGTTAACACTTTCTACAGTTAACATATTAACATATTTCTGTTGTTCTTTGCTTTTTGTTTATATAATTTCAGTTTAAATCGCACCGAAATTGTTGACGAACTGATTACCCTCATCTCGACAGAACCATCACTAGATTATCCTGAAGACAAACGTTTCCTATATCCCAATGTCGCTTGTGAGATAATAACCAGTGATGTTCCGACATTAAAGCAGCGAATGGTCGAAGATCAGAACATTATGAACAAACTTTATGGTTTCTTTGAACAAGAACCGCCACTTAACCCTCTACTTGCTTCTTTTATATGCAAAACATTCGGCATGCTTATGAAAAAGATGGAATTGGACTGGTTTCTCTACCAGACAATTTGTCTCCACGTCATTGAATTTATCAAATCTAAAGACAACTTTCTCGAAGTGATGACGCAACATTTAGCTACTCCGGTTGTTGTAGATTTACTGCTTAATATGCTCAATGACATCGAAGACGATAAAATGAAAATCGGATTTCTCGAATGGATAAACAAGAAAGGTCTGATTGCTAAAATGATTGGAGTATTACAAATACCGAGTGAATCTAATAAACATGAAAGTGTTGCTAAGTTCTTGACAGAAATGATTAAGACTGGCCGATGTAACCGCCAAATGGACACCGAAGAACGAAAAGCCTTACCAAACCCACTTCTTCAAACTCTTGAAGATAACGAAACTGTTGATCAACTTCTTGATGTGATTTTAAGCGAGCCACGAACTGAATGTGGAATATTATCCGGTATGCAAGTGCTTTTGTGCTTGCTAGTGAATCCAATAATTGAAGAACCTGTCTCGCAATCCGCCTTGCAACAAATGATCGATGCCGAAAAAGAGCACCACGATGAAATTGTTGCATCATTAATGGAAATTATTAAGTCTCGTGTTCATCAATTATTCGAGCTTCTTCTTGATCCGCCAATTGTAATTTTCTTATCTTTAAAGTGACTCTTTTTCTATTAATAATTTTTTTTAATTAAAGATTGCACGTGCAATTGGCTCCAACACCGATTATCCATTGACACCTCCATTAGGCAATGTTAGATTACAATTATGTTATTTGTTTACAGTATTACTTGAAACGGAGAATGGATCTATTATTGAAGCGTAAGTTTCACAATTTTTTGATATCGATTTGAATTTTGAATTTGTTTTTTCTTTTAGAATTTGTAAAACAAACTTTTTCATCGAATTGCTCAAATTATTTAAGCAATATTGTTGGAATAATTTCTTGCATAACTACGTAAAGAAGTGCTTGGTGTATGGATTGAAAGCATTCGATACAATTCCTAACAGCACAAAGTTGGTAATTTCTGCCTTACAAAGACATGTAAGTTAAGCCTTAAATGAATGTTTCTCAATTTAAAGCACAACTTTGTCACTTTTATTAGATTATTGTTGAATGCAAAGTCGCTGATAAGCTGATAGACTGCTGGAATGTGAATGATGAAAGTCAAAAATCCGGTGGTCGTCGAATGGGTTACATGGGACATTTAATCGACATCTTCAATGACATTCATTCGACTTTATCTGTATCGGATGACTTTTGTGCCTTAATTGAAAGCAGTTTAACTTTAGAAAAAGAAGGTGACGGTGAGTTAGCAATTGATATGTGGCGACGCATTTTACAATTAAATGAGGAAGAGAAGAAGACTCAAAGCCGTTTGTTAGCTGATTGTGATCCGACTGTTCGTCAAGACGATGGCCGTGATGGTCTTTCTGGATTTCCGTCCTCTAATGCTGAATATGAAAATGATACCGAAGACTTCGATTACCAATTTAACGCCTCAATGCTGTAAATATTTCTCTCAATATTCTTAGTCATGGAATGAATCATAATTTTTTCATTTCTCTTATCAACAGCGGTGCAGTAAATGGCGTTGATGATTTCCTAGACGATTTTATAAATGATGAAAACACAGATGCACGAAATAAATTTTTTGAAGAGGTGAGAAATATTTTATTTAAAAATAGTCATAAATGATTTAAAATGTCTTTTTTAATTTGTAAAAGGCTTGCATTCAAAACCTCTCAACATTTTCAATGGACACAAATTTTGCTGATTGGAATAACGCAGACGCAACAAGTGCAAATCACGATTTTCCATTTAATTTTGAAAGTTCTCTTAGCCTTAAGACATCATCGTCACCATTTGAAGGAGGTACATCAGAGGAGCATGCAAACAACGATGAAGAAACTTTCATAGCATCAAGTAACTTAGATTCTATAATTGGTAATAATAATATAAGCAATCAGCAACTCTTCAATGGTACTTCTTCTTATGACCAAAATGATTTCCTTATGAATTTTTACGTTACTAACACACATTTCCCACTCTCGGCCACTAACAACATTTCTCCGTACAATCCGTTTCACTATCATCATAAAATTCATGATGATACCGATATCAATAGCAATAATGATAACTGGGCAAATTTTAATTCAGATAATTTTGCGGATTTCGATTCGCATTTCACGAACATGCCGACGTCAAATGATGAAGCAACGAAACCGTTGGAGGAAGGAGAAAAGTCTGACAATGAAGATAAGCATGTGAGTGACACATGCTTTGTTGCAACAACTCAAACGATTGAAATCTCAATGGCCCCACCTAAGCCACCGATCAAGCGAGATTTTCAACTTGGAACGGCTGTGCCTGCATCAGCTGTCGATTTCAGACAAGCTTTAGAAGAAATAGAAGACGATGAGTTCTTTTCATTGAGAGATGATTCCAACGAAATGAGCAGCTTAACCGATGATAATGACAAGAAGTTATTGGAAAATACTGAGGTGCCTGATGATGAAGATGATGATTTTGAATCAGCTGATGAAAGGTAAAAGAAAAAAAAATAATTTGATTTTCACTGAATTTTTCTTATTTAGTTCAAGCAAAGGAAATTCCGAAGAAGAAACAAACAGTAATTGTGGTGACCAATTTGTTGACTGTACAGTGTCACCACCTCCAGATGCCAAAAACGATGAAGAACCAATTAATGGAGCTTCTCACACTGAAGAAGTTTTTCAAGAGCCAAACAAGTGAGATTTCAATTAAATTATTAATTTCTTTATACTTATCAACAATTAACTTTTAAAAACAGTAAAGAAGCTATTCCAACATCAGAAAGTTCATTAAAGCCGATTGAAAAATATGCACAAGCGCCTGGAAACGAGCTCATTTCTCAAGTCGTATCATTAGAAAACGGAACGTCTTAGAACAAAAAATCATGAAAGTATGAATTAAAAAAATAATGTGACTGACGATTGACACATTTTCTAAGAATTATTCTTCTATTATTTTATTTTTTATGCAATAGCTCGGTGGAAAATATTTGTCAAACTCTAAATACCTAGATCAATTTGCTTGTTTATTTAGGATTGACAGCAAATTAAAGAAATAAATTTGAAGAAAACAATCCCACACGTAATGTTTACTCTAGTGAAAAATGCTTTCATGTAAATTCTTTACCGGGTTCAGAAATTTGTATTTTTTCCTTATTTTCAAAGAGATAAATTCTTGTTCGTACCTAATTCTTATTTCTACTTCATATTAAATCGATTTTCATGTTACCTTATGAAGAAAATAAATATAATTAATACTTACGACCATTTTCACCTCACTCGATTCTATTTTGTCTTCTGTATTTATTCTTAAATGTGTAGCAATATATAATGCAAAATAATCTTTGATTTTTGTCAACTGTCAATGTAAATTATTCTTCTTAATCATCACAATCGCTTTAATACAGTTCATAATTATCTATGCGCGACTTTCAAAACAAATAATTTATTTTAGCATATCAATAACATCGATGAATTCGTTACAAGAAATTACAAAATTTATTATATTCAATACTTTGTTAGTTGGTGAACATTGCGCTTTTCTACAAGAAATCAGATTAGATCTTATTGTAAATACAAAGTATCACCTGAACATTGATTAAAACACATGACAAAAGATATATTTTTTGAAGTTTCACACTGCTCACAATAAACAATTTACTCATTATTAGTAGTTATAAACTATCATTTAATGAAAGTGGTCGTATGAATTTTTCGAGTGCAACTTATTATTAAATTTCTTATAAAAAGACTCAGCTTAAACATTTCGATAGATTTCGCATAAAATTGCAAAATGTTATCATTTCATAATGTAATAAAATGAAATCGTAGGCATGTTCTTTGAAGGAAAAGAATGCAAAGTGGAACAAGAAAATACTTCTTATTTATAAGCAGTTTTTTAATGGTACTCTTGGGTCACAGACAGTGTCTAATAATCACGAACAATTTCCAGCCTTAAAATAGAGACAAAAAATGAAAAAAAAAACATTGAATTAATCAAACAACATTTGATTTTTGTGGCAATTAAAAATGAATGTTTTTATATTTATGAAAAATAATCAAAAGTGACGCGAAAGTCGAGATTATTAAAAATCACAAAGAAAAAAAGAAGAATTTGAATGAAAAGTTTGAAGCAATATTTGCCAGTATCTTTTCTAATTAAATTGAAAGTAAAATTGAATGAAATTGTATAATTCTACTTTATGTCCAAAAATAAGGAAAGATCTTAAATAGGGGAAAAAATGAATTCATGTGTGTATCATTATTGTAATTAGCTGGGAAAATGCTTGAGAGAGAATTAATGTTAGAAAAGTTCAAATTGAAATCTTTCAAAATTTATGATCATAGCTCAATGTTGATTAGGAAAATTATCAAAATTCTTCCTTCGCTTCCACTCATAAAATAAAACAAACTAATAATTGTTCAAAATGAAAAAAAAAAGACATTTGTTTTATCATAAGCTTTTACCATCACACTTCAAGTGCACATTAATATAAACAATGTAAAGGTAATCTATAAATTTCCCAATTTTTCGCACAACGAAATGAATAAGCGAAGAAAATTTAAGTTAAATGATTTTCAATCCAAAGTTAAACAACTTTTTTTTTCATATTTTTATAACCATTTAGAATCTATCGTGAGTCTTCTTGATTCATTATAAAAAGAATCCGGACAGGGTTGTTCAATACATTCATCAAATTTTTGCCATATCGTCTCTAATTGTGTGCATTAGAGAAACTTAAGTATAAAATCTCTTTCAAAATTGAAATTTTGAACTGCTTCAATGTTTACCAAATTTATCAGAAGGAATGAAACATTAGTTTTTATATAACTTTTTACTTTACCCAAATGGAGTAACTAAAAGTAATATTTACGAAAAACAGTGCCCAAAAATAAGAAAAAAAAGAAATAAAAATGATAAAATATGTAAATTTTTTTGCTTTTGTTCGCATTGCTCAATGTTTTATAAATTATCTACTTAAATTAGATTCTGTGGGTTTTTCTATTCTTAATGAAAAAGATCTTGCGATGCGTGAACTAAACTTTAGAACGATATGCGGACGTATCCAATAACTATAATACAAACATAAGTGCTTTACTGAAATTCTTTTGAGCAAAGAGAATGTTAGGTACAAAAAGTAACTTTATATATTTAAATATTTAATGATAAAGTTTTGCTTTTCACATCGCATGATCAAATAAATATTGAAGCTATATTGTAAGTTTTCATGGACTAAATTAATTAAGTAAAAGTGCTTACTATATAAATTAACGTATCAATGCTCTTAAATTGCATTCACATATTTATGTTGCTCATAAAATATTAAAAGGTCTCAAAAATTCTTGCCAACCAAAATAGTTTCTTATTCTGAGATGACTTCTCTGCCAATTCCAATTTTCATATTGCCAGTGTACTTACATTCTTTCATTTTTCTAAAAAAAACAGCCGAAAATGCAGTTTTTCATGAAATTGCTCAAAATCAGAATTGTATTTGTAAATAAAAACATTCAGGGTGCTCATTGTTATGTTCTTATAAACTGAAAGACTGATCTTTCGGATCACATAAAATAATTTTTCATTTTATTACTAATATCATAAGCATATCATTTTGTTATAAGAAAACTTAAGAAATAATTTATGAAACTTGTCGTTGGCAGATGAAGAATCATCATTTTGTAATATGTAAGAACTTTGCATTGCATAAGTTACCTGAAGAAAAAAAACTTTTTTTTAATCTAATGAATTCTATAAATAAATCACACGTAATGAAATGAAGAATAAAAGACAGGACAGACACATTCAAAAATGTTAAATTTGGGAAACATTTGAACTAATATGAATGTTGACTTTTGATATAAATAAACAAAGCATAAGTCTTCAAAGAGTAGTCGATAAATATTCTTAATTTCCTCATGAGTTGCATTAAATAAGAAATAAAAAGAAAGAAATACAAAAGATTAAAATAAAAATGGTGCAATATTGTGATTTTTCCAAAAAAAAATTGAAATATATCATACTTAATTGATGAATTAGAACTTGAAAACAATCTTGTGCCTATTAACTGAAGTTTTAAGAAAGTCTGTGTCCCATATAAAAATTTTGTATGCATAAAATGATGAAATACTTTTTTGAAAAAATAATTATCGGAAAAATGGGGTGTGAATAATAGAAAAAATAATAACAAAAAAGAATAGTTGAATTTGTAATAAGAAAGACTAGATTCTCTACAGTAGAAGCTTATCCTCATATATTTCTTGGTGTTGAAAAAAAAGCATAAAGAATGAAAATTATTGAGATACATTTTACCAACTGAGTAACACTTTTGCATACACTGTGATTATGATTCTTTCGTGTTATTACTTGATGGGTTTGATTTGAATAAGTTATCTGCGTGTAACCAAGTATTTGTATGGGAATAAAGTTATGAAATGTCTTTGTTAAATATCTTCTTAAAAAAGAGTCTCTGAATTGTATACAAGTGCTTGTAGATATGGAGAATATTGAATAGATGTTGAAAGATTTCGATGTTGGTGAAAACAGTCAAGTGGTTGTCTCCATCAAAACAATGCCAAAAAATGATTCCTTCTTATTTAAAAAAAAGAAAAATAAGATAAATTTCTTGACATAAGCGACGTATTTGGGTGTAGTGAAAAGTCCTTTCTTGTCTTCGGATTAATACTCTTCCTAATTATTATTTTTCTTTGTACTCAATATTTACACAAAAATGTAGCTAAAGTGCATGAGGAGAAATATTTATTGCGCAATTTAGATGGTGTTAATGATAATAAGCAAAAAATATAGTTAACGAAATTTCATTTTTAATCAGAATCAACAAATATCGTAAATATGTTTGATGTTCAAAAACAATTAAAAAACCCTTGAAGATTTTTTCTCTTAGGCATTCCTGGGAGAGTGTAAGAATTTTTTTAAAGAGTCATTTAACACCTACACCAATCCATGGAAACTACTTGAGCTTTAAATTTCATGTTTCACAGCTTTTGAGAAAAAAATTCAAATTAATGAGAGATAGAAAAAAAAAGAAGGAAAAATCATTTCGTAGTGAAAAGGTTAAAATTAAAAATGAAAAACTTTAATCGGTAGATGAAAGAAACACAATGTGAAACCTCTTAAATATTTTAAAAAGAGACCAATTAAAAATCTCTCAAATTAATACATATAATTGAAATTATGTAGCATTCGATAATAAGACAAATAATGGAATAAAATAAGAAAAGCAAAAAAAAAACTCTAAATATCAGTTTTCCTTCTTTTCCAGGTATAAAACTTCTTTGATAAACGAACGTTTAATTTCCTATAATTTAGTTCTCAAAAATTCATTAAAAAGAGAGTCGCAGCTTGATAACCTGAGAGAGATAATTTTTGTAAAGAATCCAGAACAGTTTTATAGATAAGATTAAATATTCTCAATAAAAAAAACATTTCAGTAGTTTCAGGTCTTTCAAACAAAAAAGTTCGATGAAAATCGCTGTTATTGGAGCTGGTGCTGCCGGTTTAGCAGCTATTAAAAATTCCATTAATTATGGATGTGACGTAATTTGCTTTGAACAGAGTGACAAAGTTGGAGGCACATGGGTGTATACAGATGAAATTGGTGTAAATAAGTTCAATCTTGATGTACACAGTAGCATGTACAAAAATTTAGTTACTAACTTGCCAATTGAATTGATGTGCTATCCTAATGAGAAGTTTCCGGAAAATGAACAATCTTTTGTCACATCAGAAGTTGTGCTTGATTACTACGAGCATTATGCTGATAAGTATAATCTTCGTGATAATATAAAGTTTGAACATCACGTTTTAAGCGTACGTCCCATTAAAGACGAGACATGGGAAGTTATAGTAAATAATCTTTCAAGATCTACTCATGAAACATACATTTTTGATGCAATTTTGGTTTGTTCGGGACATTTCCATTCTTGTCACATTCCAAAATACGGAAGTAACTTCAAGGGTCACCAAATACATTCTCATCATTATCGAACAGCAGAAAAATTTGAGAACGAGGCAGTTCTTATAATTGGAGGCAATTTCAGTGCGGTTGATATTGTACAACAGACTGCAAAATATGCAAAATCCATCTTATGGTCTCATCATAATAAAACAGAACCTGATATAACAGCTTTTGGTACAAACGTTCGGCAAAAACCCGATGTTAGAAAATTTAATGAAGATTGTTTAGAATTCATTGACGGTTCTGTTGAGAAGATCACCTGGATAATTTATTGTACGGGTTATGAATTTAAATTTCCATTCTTATCAGTTGATTGTGGTATCAATACCACGGATGATTATGTGAAGCCTCTGTTCAAGCATTGTCTCAATATCAATCGACCAACAATGGCATTTATTGGTCTACCCAATCTTATCTGCCCTAATCAATTGTTTGACTTACAAAGTCGATTTGCGTTGACTTTCATTACTAAACGTCGCAATCTGCCATCACGAGATGACATGATAAAAGATCAGGAACTGGATTTAAGCTCGAGATGGAAACGAGGATTACCATTAAAAAAAGCCCATCTGATGGGGCCTGATGTGCAACATGAATATTATGTCGACCTTGCTACAACTGCTGATATTAAACCAATCATGCCTGTTATTGCCAAAATGCACAAATTCACAAACATCAATCGTGACAATGACTTCATCAATTTTCGTCGCATGAAATATTTTATCATTGACGAGGAAACATTTGAAACAAAACCAATTCCCGAAAAATAATATAATTAAGTTTATATTTACCAAATGTTGGGAAACAAAATTTATGCTAAGAAGTTCCAGTCTATGGAATTTGTATAACAAAAAAATTATTCATATCTAATTTTATTGTATTGTGTTCGTTCATAACATTGATTTTTTATAGAAAAATTTAAAAAATGAGATCCCTAACAATAAAAGAGCTTTCGGAAAACTAGAAAAATTAAATATTTAAAGCGTTTGTAAATCTGAAGTGAAAAAACAAAAAGTATTAAAAATCATTTTCATGTGTTGAGCGTTAAGTTTTTCTCTTTAGTTCCTCTAGGCTTCTCTTGATCGCTGATATTGTCGACAGAAACATTTTTCTCGCAACATGAAGAAATAATTTGTCTCAACTAGCATGAGCAAATAATGAGCTTTTAGAGCGTAATGTTTCTGAAATCAAATTTTGCGACAGAATTTCAGTGACATTTTAACGGACGATTGATACAAACGCGATATTAAAATAAAGTTAATTTTTTCCTATTTTAAATTGAAAGTGATCAAATAAAAAATTCTTTTAATTCAGTTCAATTAATTCATTTTCTGATTTTAAAAACAACAATTAATTCTTGTATTGCGAGAATTTAAAAAAAAAAGTTCACAAAAACAGATATGAAAGGATTAATTTTGATTAAACTCAATTTTTTATTTATGGCAAGTATTTTTACTTTTTTTGAGAAATGAATTGTTTGTTCCACTATTTTTAAGATACATTTTTGAGGAAACTATTGAGTATTTAAATTCATAAAACTACACATGCCTGTATCTAAATATTTTACAAAAAAAGGCACAGATAACAATTTGCCAAATGAAGTGATATTTATTAGAAATACATATATTTAAGTTTTAAACATTTAGGAAAGAAATTTTAATTTTCAACAATACAAAATACAAATTCCGAAATATCTCATTGAGATTCTTCCTACATTGTATCCGACGAACTGCACAACGATATACCTTAGAGAACAATTCTATTTTCTCAAGGTCGTTCAAGCAGTCTTATAGTCTAAAGTTGACATTTTTTATTTTAATTCAAAAAGTTTTAATTGATCAAACGATCTTAAATGTAGGCTTATGTATGTAGTTTGTTTTCTGTACCTATATTGTTTCAATGGAATTTAATAGAAATAACTTGTCACTCACTTATTTGATTAAAATTAACTGCAAGTTTCTTCTGAATCAATTTAACAAGAACTTCCATATTCATAGGTATGAATTTTTATTTTAAGTCTGCCATTAAGATATTACATTATTCAGAAATCTCGGACGAAGAATTTGCATTCTTTCTAACGTTTTGTCATACCACAAGATGGGAAATGTCTAATGAGCAAAATGCAATAAGAATAATAAATAACAGCAAAAATATCGCGAAATTAATTTTAATTATTGTAATTAACATTTTTGATATTTCCCCTGACTAATAAATGCAAAGTTTCTAAATTCCCCATTTTTTTCTCTTATCATGGGTTTGCTTTCTCATTTCCTCGAAATAAAAAACAAGCAGAACATTAACGCTCGAAACAAAAAGCTTATGTTGTATCAAGATTAACACCATCGTATCATTCTGAACTGTTTCCAGTTGTAAATAAGCATCATTGAAAGCCTTGAGGTTTGACACCCCACGCTTTGTTTTTATTTCGTACAATAATTTTTAAACATGTTCATTTTCTTCGTAAATTCTGCTAAGAAAATATTAAGTATATTTTATAATTGCCATTAATTGCCATATAAATATTTATGAATTAATAGAATTATTTAATGTAAATAAAGCAAAAAGTTTTTGCGAGTTAAAACTGATTTTGTGAGTGAAAATAAGCATCTTAAGTGGATATATTTTATGCAACATCTACTGATGTGTTTACTCTGTTTCAGGTATTTCTGTGTTATTAAATCTTCATAGTGGAGAAAAAGTGCAAATTTTGATGCAATTTCAATGAAATTTATGAGTTATTTTTATTTCTATGTTAGTGAAATTTATTCTCCATCCCTAATGAGACATTTAATTATATTTATTACATTTGATACCTAATAAAATATAAAAATAATTCACATTTTTAAACTGTTTAAATTCTAACTAACGGATTATAAGATTTGAATTTAAAATTTATGCTAAAAGGCGGTTTTCGTTCTTAGCAGATTTATGTTCTTGCTAAGGGTTACAATTCTTCTAATTCTATCCTGTAAACAACAAAAACAAATGCCGCTTATTTAAAAAAAATTAGTTTCTATCGTTGTTCTGTCACATTTATACAGATACAATGCTATCAAAACTTAATATAAATAATTTTATGTGCCTGAGCAACATTGAAGTTGATTTCAACCACAATTTCACTTCAATTAACGGTAAACCAGGATTAACAAAAGGTAAAAAATCAAAATTAAATGTGAAATTTTATCCTAACTAAATTCATTGATTTAAGGTCTGTCAAGTTTAATAGAAGCAATAAGATTTGTACTCGAATGCAGTGAATTAGATTTCAACGAGATTTGTTCTTCTACAAATTATCAGGAAGACAATCCAAGGTAAGTTAAAATCTTTTTGTTTTATTTCAACATTCTTAAAAATATCTATTTTCAGTGTATACGTTGAAGCCACTATTTCAGACCCCTTTGGACGTTCAAACATATTCAGAAAATCAATTTTTGATCACACAATTGTTTATCATATCGATGGAAATGTCAGCAATCAATTGGAATTTAAGCGACTGCTGTTATCATCTCAAGTAGTGCAACCTTTAATGTCCACATTCATAATTGATTCTCAAATGATTGATATGGTAACAGTTTTGAGAGATGGAAAAAGAACTAATTTGATTGAAACATTCTGTTATGATGATAAAGATGAAATTATAAGTAACTACAATCGAATGTTTCAATTTATTGATGATGCAAAACATGATATGAATATGAATCTTAAAAAACAAAGAGCTCTTAACGCTGAAAAAAGAAAAATTCACAAGAAAAATGAATCAAACAAGAGACGGTCACAACTTGTGAAAGAATTTGATGGAAAATCAATCCAATTTAATTTGTTTAAAATTTTTCATAACGCCAAATTTCTTGAGTCTGTAGAAAATTTTAATCATGATGAGCAGTTGCTAATTGAGGATTTTGAATCATCAATAGTTGAACAGGATGATATTTTAATACATTCATATCACAACAAAAACATTGCCACTGAAGAAATTAAACAAATGAATCAACAAATTGAGGAATTAAATGAAGACTTCATAAAATCCAAAGAGCTCCATAATCAAAACAAAATAATTGACAACGTTCAAAGTAATCTGAAAAGATATTTAGAAACTATAAAGGAAGATATCGCTAAGAGAATTAGATCGATTCGATGTGACATAGAACAACTTGGTTCAAATTCAAATGATTTAAAAGATGAATAGAATATTCGCAACTTAACAGTAATTTCAATCAAGATTTGGAGAATGCTTTGTGGGAATTAGAATTGAAGACAAGAAAAACAGTTGCTTGTGAAGCCGAAATGGAAGAATTGCAGGATGATCTGAAAAGTTCTTTTCATACGCTAAATAATTTGGAAAACAAATTTTATCCTCTCAATGAAAAATTAAACGAGCTGAAAACAGTTTTGATGGAAAAATTGCAGAAGAAAAAACAACTGGAGAGTTTTCTAGTCCCAAAGTTACAAAGTATTTCCCCCGAATCATCTGTAAACAACATAAAAGCTCGTGAAAATATTCTAAAAGATTTGAAAGAAAACTTTTCGTCTCGTATAATTGGAAGACTTTCTCAACTTTGGCCAACTTCTGGTGAAACTGATGCAGATCATTGCAATGTTTTCAAACGATTGGGAGAGTTTTCTGAAACAATCATTGTTGATACAAAGGAAACTGCTCTCGAGTGTATTAGTTACTTGAAGTTGAAACAACTCTCAGATATTAACGAAGCTTTCTTACCACTTAATGAATTGTCTGATCAAAAGACCTCGAATGACTTTCTTCCTGCCGGTGAACTTCCACCTTACTGTGAAATCGTCGAAAAGTTAATCAAAGTTAGTAATGAGGAACTCATGAGAAGTTTTATTTACTTTCTCAAGCCATCGCTCATTTGCGGATCTCTAAACGAGTCTGAGACATTAATTACTTGGGATGGAAGTAAGAAATTAAATGTTGTGTCAAGAGACACGTCAACTTGTTTCGACAAGGAAGGTTTTCTTAAGTATGATGGTTTAGATCACGAAAAAATTCATGAAGTTACTACAGTTGACGACTCTGAAAGTTATCGAAGGAAAAAATTCTGAAATTTTAGAAAAGAAAACCGAACTTTGGTCTTTATATGATGAGCTGCAGTTGATAGATAAAAAAAATAAAATTTATGAAAAATGAGCGCATCACAAAAGCAGTTGCTAGAACATGAGAAGAAACACTATGAATATCTGAAAGAAGTCATAAAGGCATTAGAGTGTAGTGATAAAAGAATCAGGCAGATGGAATCAATATCATCAATGCAGGGAAAACTTGACAAGAAAATGGAAATTCATTTCAACGACTTCGGTAAAAAATTTGGATTTGAAAGCATCAAAATGTTCTTAAAAAAAAAACAATAAAAGCTGGCTTTTGGCTAGTGAAATAAATCTGAAATTGGAAGAAATCGCACAATGGGAGAATGAATATTTGAAGTTGAACTCCGTTTTCCAAAATCTCCCATCTGAAGCCCTTAACAATCTTGAACAGGAACTGATAACTAACAAATCTCGAATTAATCAGGAGATGGAAAATTTTCATCAAAAAAACAACGTCAGAAGTAATTCGATCAAAGAAATGCAAGAAATTGAAAGCAAATCATTTGAATTGATTGAAAACATTTCGAAATCTTATGAAAAAGTTTATGACAATCTTCACCGAATCCAAGTTTGTTTAAAGGAAAACTATGAAATTATTGTTAAAAACTTCATGGATTATAACTCAATTTCTCTTGTCAATGGATTAATGGAAAACGTCATAGTTACTCCTGATGATCTGCCAGATAATGTTTCTCTTATTCAGGAACAATTGAAAAGGTAAATTTCTTATAATTTCTCACGAGATTATTTTAGTGACAATTTTCTTACAGACTTGAGGTGAACTTTGAATCATTGCATCAAAATTTAAAAGGTAATGTCAATGTAGTTGAGAAATCCCGAGAGTTTCTTATTGCACTTGACACATTAAGTCAACAAATTGAGAAGGAAAGAGGGAAAATAGGAAAAGATGTGAGCCAAACTCGAATCAAACGAATCAACTCTGATCTTGCTGCAATAAGTCAAAAAGTCGCTCTTCAAAAGAAAAATGTGGGAAGTGTCAAAGAGAAGTTTGAGGAAGTTGCAGTGGAGCGAAAAGAGAGATTCGTGAAGTGTTTGAATGCTCTCAACAATGGAATTGGTGAATGTTGTCAACAAATGTTTGATGGAAATGTCATTGCCAATCTCAAAGTGGCCAAAAATAATGATGAACCGTATCTTGGTGATACAATTTTCACTTGGTACACAATTTCAAATTCACCTAAAATTCTCACCGAACTTGATAAAAACTACGATGCTGCCTTAGCTTTTATCTTCGCAATAGTGAAGATGAAAGGTCACAAATTAATCATTCTTAACGACATATCCGGAAAAATCAGCAAACATGCCAAAAAGTTTATTCATCTTCAAAACGATTATCAAATTATTTCCATCTCTTCACGACGATCTGACATGGATACTTCAAACTTCCTTTTACATCCAGATTCGAAATCAAATTTATTTACCATTAAACGATGTCGTTAATTGCGCAACTAACATATTTCGCTCAATGTGTTCCTTTCAATTCAATGTAGATACAATAAATAAATTGTTTAAACGAGCGAATCGTTTTAGTTTCATTTCACAAGGTCATTTTTTTCCTTCTTTTTCTTTGAAAAGTAGTTTGTTGTCGCTTTGAAATTTGTCTATCGATGGACAACAATGACAAGTCGCGACAACACATTTTTCTTCTAAAATAAATCATTTCATCTTTAAATGAGCTCATGTTGTTCGATTATGGACAGCAACTTAAAAGGTGTAGCAACTTGAAGAATTCTAACGTGAGAAACAAATTCCATGTCAAACATCTTCAAATGTAATTTAAAATGAAACATTTTTCAGTACATTTGTGCAATTCCATACAAAATGGTATTGATTTCATCGAGATCGTGTCCAACGATATCCAGAACACTGACTTTGTAAGAAAAAAAACTTAATCTTAATCTAAAAAGCTTTTGCATTCAAATGAAGATTGAAGCCTACACATTTGTATTGAAATAAAAACGAAATTGATTTAATTCAGAATGCCTGATCGACATCACTGTTTGGCTATCTCGTCTTAATTATTTTATTATTCGAAATCAAATCAGTCTCTCTTAATTGTAATTAATTATTAGAATAATTTCTTGATAGACGAGGTGACACTTTCAATTAATCGCTGAAGAACTTTAAATGAAAGAAAAATAATTGTGATTGATATTTGCAAATTATACTCTTGAGCTTAAGAAATGCTGAAAAACTTTGAATATCCGCAATGTAAATATGAAGACCAACGTTCCCGTCTTACCATGTAATGAAGTCTTTTAGTACAATGGCCATTGAAGTTAATTAAAAAAGGTTCAAGAAAGTTATAGAAAATCCATAAAACCTGGTTTCATTTAGANAGTCTGCCATTAAGATATTACATTATTCAGAAATCTCGGACGAAGAATTTGCATTCTTTCTAACGTTTTGTCATACCACAAGATGGGAAATGTCTAATGAGCAAAATGCAATAAGAATAATAAATAACAGCAAAAATATCGCGAAATTAATTTTAATTATTGTAATTAACATTTTTGATATTTCCCCTGACTAATAAATGCAAAGTTTCTAAATTCCCCATTTTTTTCTCTTATCATGGGTTTGCTTTCTCATTTCCTCGAAATAAAAAACAAGCAGACATTAACGCTCGAAACAAAAAGTTTATGTTATATTAAGATCAACACCATCGTATCATTCTGAACTCTTTCCAGTTGTAAATAAGCATCATTGAAAGCCTTGAGGTTTGACACCCCACACTTTGTTTTTTTTCAAGTAAATTTCGTACAATAATTTTTAAACATGTTCATTTTCTTCGTAAATTCTGCTAAGAAAATATTAAGTATATTTTATAATTGCCATTAATTGCCATATAAATATTTATGAATTAATAGAATTATTTAATGTAAATAAAGCAAAAAGTTTTTGCGAGTTAAAACTGATTTTGTGAGTGAAAATAAGCATCTTAAGTGGATATATTTTATGCAACATCTACTGATGTGTTTACTCTGTTTCAGGTATTTCTGTGTTATTAAATCTTCATAGTGGAGAAAAAGTGCAAATTTTGATGCAATTTCAATGAAATTTATGAGTTATTTTTATTTCTATGTTAGTGAAATTTATTCTCCATCCCTAATGAGACATTTAATTATATTTATTACATTTTGTAGATACCTAATAAAATATAAAAATAATTCACATTTTTTAAANGATAATGCAAAACATGATATGAATATGAATCTTAAAAAACAAAGAGCTCTTAACGCTGAAAAAAGAAAAATTCACAAGAAAAATGAATCAAACAAGAGACGGTCACAACTTGTGAAAGAATTTGATGGAAAATCAATCCAATTTAATTTGTTTAAAATTTTTCATAACGCCAAATTTCTTGAGTCTGTAGAAAATTTTAATCATGATGAGCAGTTGCTAATTGAGGATTTTGAATCATCAATAGTTGAACAGGATGATATTTTAATACATTCATATCACAACAAAAACATTGCCACTGAAGAAATTAAACAAATGAATCAACAAATTGAGGAATTAAATGAAGACTTCATAAAATCCAAAGAGCTCCATAATCAAAACAAAATAATTGACAACGTTCAAAGTAATCTGAAAAGATATTTAGAAACTATAAAGGAAGATATCGCTAAGAGAATTAGATCCATTCGATGTGACATAGAACAACTTGGTTCAAATTCAAATGATTTAAAAGATGAATATTCGCAACTTAACAGTAATTTCAATCAAGATTTGGAGAATGTTTTGTGGGAATTAGAATTGAAGACAAGAAAAACGGTTGCTTGTGAAGCCGAAATGGAAGAATTGCAGGATGATCTGAAAAGTTCTTTTCATACGCTAAATAATTTGGAAAACAAATTTTATCCTCTCAATGAAAAATTAAACGAGCTGAAAACAGTTTTGATGGAAAAATTGCAGAAGAAAAAACAACTGGAGAGTTTTCTAGTCCCAAAGTTACAAAGTATTTCCCCCGAATCATCTGTAAACAACATAAAAGCTCGTGAAAATATTCTAAAAGATTTGAAAGAAAACTTTTCGTCTCGTATAATTGGAAGACTTTCTCAACTTTGGCCAACTTCTGGTGAAACTGATGCAGATCATTGCAATGTTTTCAAACGATTGGGAGAGTTTTCTGAAACAATCATTGTTGATACAAAGGAAACTGCTCTCGAGTGTATTAGTTACTTGAAGTTGAAACAACTCTCAGATATTAACGAAGCTTTCTTACCACTTAATGAATTGTCTGATCAAAAGACCTCGAATGACTTTCTTCCTGCCGGTGAACTTCCACCTTACTGTGAAATCGTCGAAAAGTTAATCAAAGTTAGTAATGAGGAACTCATGAGAAGTTTTATTTACTTTCTCAAGCCATCGCTCATTTGCGGATCTCTAAACGAGTCTGAGACATTAATTACTTGGGATGGAAGTAAGAAATTAAATGTTGTGTCAAGAGACACGTCAACTTGTTTCGACAAGGAAGGTTTTCTTAAGTATGATGGTTTAGATCACGAAAAAATTCATGAAGTTACTACAGTTGACGACTCTGAAAGTTATCGAAGGAAGAATTCTGAAATTTTAGAAAAGAAAACCGAACTTTGGTCTTTAAATGATGAGCTGCAGTTGATAGGTAAAGAAATAAAAATTTATGAAAAAATGAGCGCATCACAAAAGCAGTTGCTAGAACATGAGAAGAAACACTATGAATATCTGAAAGAAGTCATAAAGACATTAGAGTGTAGTGATAAAAGAATCAGGCAGATGGAATCAATATCATCAATGCAGGGAAAACTTGACAAGAAAATGGAAATTCATTTCAACGACTTCTGTAAAAAATTTGGATTTGAAAGCATCAAAATGTTCTTAAAAAACAATAAAAGCTGGCTTTTGGCTAGTGAAATAAATCTGAAATTGGAAGAAATCGCACAATGGGAGAATGAATATTTGAAGTTGAACTCCGTTTTCCAAAATTTCCCATCTGAAGCCCTTAACAATCTTGAACAGGAACTGATAACTAACAAATCTCGAATTAATCAGGAGATGGAAAATTTTCATCAAAAAAACAACGTCAGAAGTAATTCGATCAAAGAAATGCAAGAAATTGAAAGCAAATCATTTGAATTGATTGAAAACATTTCAAAATCTTATGGAAAAGTGTATGACAATCTTCACCGAATCCAAGCTTGTTTAAAGGAAAACTATGAAATTATTGTTAAAAACTTCATGGATTATAACTCAATTTCTCTTGTCAATGGATTAATGGAAAACGTCATAGTTACTCCTGATGATCTGCCAGATAATGTTTCTCTAATTCAGGAACAATTGAAAAGGTAAATTTCTTATAATTTCTCACGAGATTATTTTAGTGACAATTTTCTTACAGACTTGAGGTGAACTTTGAATCATTGCATCAAAATTTAAAAGGTAATGTCAATGTAGTTGAGAAATCCCGAGAGTTTCTTATTGCACTTGACACATTAAGTCAACAAATTGAGAAGGAAAGAGGGAAAATAGGAAAAGATGTGAGCCAAACTCGAATCAAACGAATCAACTCTGATCTTGCTGCAATAAGTCAAAAAGTCGCTCTTCAAAAGAAAAATGTGGGAAGTGTCAAAGAGAAGTTTGAGGAAGTTGCAGTGGAGCGAAAAGAGAGATTCGTGAAGTGTTTGAATGCTCTCAACAATGGAATTGGTGAATGTTGTCAACAAATGTTTGATGGAAATGTCATTGCCAATCTCAAAGTGGCCAAAAATAATGATGAACCGTATCTTGGTGATACAATTTTCACTTGGTACACAATTTTAAATTCACCTAAAATTCTCACCGAACTTGATAAAAACTACGATGCTGCCTTAGCTTTTATCTTCGCAATAGTGAAGATGAAAGGTCACAAATTAATCATTCTTAACGACATATCCGGAAAAATCAGCAAACATGCCAAAAAGTTTATTCATCTTCAAAACGATTATCAAATTATTTCCATCTCTTCACGACGATCTGACATGGATACTTCAAACTTCCTTTTACATCCAGATTCGAAATCAAATTTATTTACCATTAAACGATGTCGTTAATTGCGCAACTAACATATTTCGCTCAATGTGTTCCTTTCAATTCAATGTAGATACAATAAATAAATTGTTTAAACGAGCGAATCGTTTTAGTTTCATTTCACAAGGTCATTTTTTTCCTTCTTTTTCTTTGAAAAGTAGTTTGTTGTCGCTTTGAAATTTGTCTATCGATGGACAACAATGACAAGTCGCGACAACACATTTTTCTTCTAAAATAAATCATTTCATCTTTAAATGAGCTCATGTTGTTCGATTATGGACAGCAACTTAAAAGGTGTAGCAACTTGAAGAATTCTAACGTGAGAAACAAATTCCATGTCAAACATCTTCAAATGTAATTTAAAATGAAACATTTTTCAGTACATTTGTGCAATTCCATACAAAATGGTATTGATTTCATCGAGATCGTGTCCAACGATATCCAGAACACTGACTTTGTAAGAAAAAAAACTTAATCTTAATCTAAAAAGCTTTTGCATTCAAATGAAGATTGAAGCCTACACATTTGTATTGAAATAAAAACGAAATTGATTTAATTCAGAATGCCTGATCGACATCACTGTTTGGCTATCTCGTCTTAATTATTTTATTATTCGAAATCAAATCAGTCTCTCTTAATTGTAATTAATTATTAGAATAATTTCTTGATAGACGAGGTGACACTTTCAATTAATCGCTGAAGAACTTTAAATGAAAGAAAAATAATTGTGATTGATATTTGCAAATTATACTCTTGAGCTTAAGAAATGCTGAAAAACTTTGAATATCCGCAATGTAAATATGAAGACCAACGTTCCCGTCTTACCATGTAATGAAGTCTTTTAGTACAATGGCCATTGAAGTTAATTAAAAAAGGTTCAAGAAAGTTATAGAAAATCCATAAAACCTGGTTTCATTTAGAGCTCTTGTGCTCATTTTATATAATTATTTACAGTTGTTCTGAGTCGCTAAATTTCATATTTATTTAAATCCAAATTGAACGCCTCCACAACCCGCACAAAAGAAGTTTCTTAAACGTGAACAAAGGACCTCAAGGTGAATCATCTCATGGATGTAATTAACCAAAAAAGTTCTTTTCTTGACCATTTATGGAAAATGGTTTCATTTCAATGACTGAATCATTATTATCGACACAAAATGCGTGAAATTGTGTAAACAAAAGCTGATTATGATTGTTTTATGAAATTTTCAAAGCGAATTCCACAACAAGAAGCAAAAATGTTATATAGATTTTGTCTTTATTCAAGTTATGTTCGGTAGTCTGTAAATTTACTTGTTCAGATTTACAGTTGTGCGTGGTTAGTGACAGTAGTAGGATTTGGAGGCATAATTCCGCATGGCTTCTAGAATATGAGACAATCTGTATGTAGTGTAATAATTTTGCCTGCAAAAAAGCGAGGGTGGCAGAAATAACATTCATATATTAATTCGCAAATAGTTGTAGTTGATTTTTTACAACTCATTTAAGATTAAATATTAATTACGGATTTTTAATTTATATGTATTGTTATAGCTTTTCCAACAAAAACATTGAACTAATAAAACGAGAGGTTTTTGATCTTAACAAACTCTTGCGATTATCTCCAAATATGAACAAAACCTCCACCTACGCTAATGTTGGTCCGCGCTAATCAAAATGTTGTTTTTGTGCTGTTTGTCGTCATGGTTATTTATAAGCGGCTACGCAAAATTTCTATTTAGTATGATCAATGAAAATAAATATTTCCATAGATAAATGTAGACTGTGCTTACTCTCGACTCTCAAAATTAACACTGCTAGCTCTTATTTTTTTCAAATCTGTTTCAAAGCACATGGCTTTGTTTATGTTTTCTCATTTTTTGCTTGCTTTGAACCAAAGAAAAAATGTTTTGAGAGAATGTTGAACATTTTCGCGAGCTCAAAATTGTTTTAAACTGTTGCGAAATATTATTACACGGAAAATGTTTCAGTGGTACTTAAGCTTCCGAAGAGATTAAACGTGCGAGAAATATAAAAAAATTTAATTCAATTTTTCTTTAAGAATAAAATATAATAAAGTGCGAACCAATTATCAAACTTGATTATAATTTGGAAAAAATGTGAAAAAGTTTTTAAAAGTTTAAATTTGTCAACATTAAAAAATAAACTCAAAGAGAATTTTAAAAATTAAATATGAAATCGACAACATTGTTCTCGCTTTTAGTGATGGTAAGATGATAATTTTGCAGTTCTCAGTGAGCTTGATCATTAAATAAAATATGTATCTGATGCATTCTCAAACATTATGCTGTCATTGAAAAAGTTCAATGTTTTGTCTTCTCATAAATTTCAAATTAAAGCATTGATGCGTGAGAAATTTTTAGTTTTCAGTAAGGTAATAAAAACAAAATTAGATTAAGGGTCTTATTGAATCAATAAAAATCCTAAGTTCATGATGATGTCATTTACTTCGTTCACATTATGTGGCAATTAATGTATCTACTTAGGTTTAAGTTGAAAATTGCGTAACATAGATGAGATTGTCGACTTGTATCATGTCATAAATCGATTTGAGTTGAGCCAGTCACGACAGATCTCATTTATCACTGCAGCAGTAAGCTACCTATTATTTAATAAATAACTGATCAATAAAAGACATAAATCTAAAGCACGAATGTGAGAAAATTGTAACGAAAAAATAAGTCATTAAAAGTGAACGATTGAATCATACTTTCACTATCGTTTTTGTCTCGGTCAATTTACAATAATAATGTTGAGTGGAGTACACAAGAAGGAAAGAAATAAAAAGAAAAAAGCATAATAAAATAAACTAGTTCACGTTGAAAACGAAATATGCTTGCATTTCCAGATAAAGTAGTTTCTGCGAGATGCATTAAATAAGTTTTTTTTCTTCCGATTCTCTTCAGCTTTGGTGTGAACATATTTTATGGTTTCCAGTACCTTTTCTCATGCTTCATGCAAATATTTTTCTGTAAATGCTGATCATTAAATAAATAACGATTTCCTACATTTGAAAGCATAAAAATAGGCTCAAAGCATATTGAATTGAATTGAACTTTTATTCAAAGCAAACATATCTTGGATGTAAAGAAAATAATCAAATCAGCATTCGAGTGATTCAAATGTTTACGTTATGCTAAAGTTTGGCAAATTGCGTTTCATGTCCTTGTGCTGATTTCCCACGCTGTTTCAATAAACGTCCACCAAACAGACCAACCAAGATTAGTAGAGTGTGGATATGGAAATAAGTTAAATCTTTTTGATTGAACGGATAGCTAAGTAGCTAAAAAGAATTAAATTAAAACTAATTAATTCATATCTTATGACATCTAAGAACATGTTGGAATATAATTACAGAAGTAAATTTTTTGACTACATCAAACTAGTTATGAAAATTTAATTAAAATCGATTGCTTAATCATATTTATTACAAGTTTTTCAATAAAAAAAGAAAACTTTTGGAAAATATTGCCTGAGAATCACTAAATACCTTGATAACAATTTGATTTTCACTTTTACAACTTTCTATTGTAAAGATGTCAATTTGCCGCTTTGAAGAAATGTTATGATCTTGAACTTCCAGATCGCATTACACAACAGATATCTTTATTAAAATGAAATCGTTTTATTACACAATATTATAATTTCTCACATTAAAATGTAATTAGTTGTCATGACTTTAAATTATTCAATTCGCTTTGCGACTTTTTTCCGCTTTGATTTTAAAAGAAATTTTTGTTATTGGAATTAATACTTGAAATAGCTTAATAATTGAAAAAAGGTGGATAAATGTACTATTATTAGGCATCTTCTTTTATTTAATTAAATAATTGCCAAGTAACGAAGAAATGTTTGTTGGAACTTACCCAATTATTAAATATTTTTGTTGAAGTTATTCATTGAGATTAGATTAACATATTAATAAATTGAAACAAGATTTCATTAAGAAATAAAGTTTGAAACAGACATCAAACAGATCTTCTTCATTTTAAGAGATCACAGATGAAATTCACAAAATTTATTCTCAACTTTTTCACTTTGAGCCTGTATTTGAAGTATTTAAAAACAAAACACCAAATTGTAGATGAATTAAAATTCGTAATGCAGTAACAATGTTGTTCATGATCAATGAAAAAAATCAAGGATAATCTGAAATTACTTTGACGATGATTCATTTAAATTAATTTTTATTCATTAGTTCATAAATTTCAATCACTTCCTTCGCTTTGCTTTGATAAAATTAATAATTTAGTTCTTTAAAATTATTAATTTAAATCGCCTTTCTTTCTGCTTCCGTCATACAAAGATGACGAATGAGATAAAATATCGAACTTTACCACGAAAAAATTGTGACTCATTTTGAATTCAATGTCAACACTTCGTGCTTGAAATTTTTTACATTTTTCACATAGTATTTAGGAATACGTTTTATTTCATTGTTCGATCGATTTAGTGTAAACTCTCAAATTAGATATTAAACCAAGGAAATTATCTAATGCATTTCAATTTTATTCTAAATTCATTCAATATTCATCAAGCATTGGAGACACAAAAGTTATTGTCTGATGTTCATTGTTCAAGTTTTGTCGATAGACAATGAATTATAAATTATAATTGAAACATTTGTGTTGTTAAATATTGTGGCGTTCTTTTCTAAAATTAATAAAGATTTTTTATTGTATTGAGCTACTTTACTAAAAGCTTTAAATATTGAGTTATTAATGATGCTAAAAAATTTACAACTTTCCTTAAACGGTCAAAACATCTTTTTTTCTTCTCAAATAAAATCAGCTCAAGCACAAGAGCTGAACATTTCTTAACTACATATCAATATTACATGATTTTGTTTGCAGAAATGCAGCGATGTCAGTCGTTCCAATCAACTGAATTTCAATTTCCTTTTATATTCATAGCTGCAGAAACGAACGATTGCGCTGTTACAATTCCAATAAGTTCCTTATGTGCAGTCACAATTTACGTAATGTACTAAATTTGATTCTCATTTTAAAGTCTTGTCTTTAATACAAAACAGAAAACATGAAACAGATTACAAATGTGTGCGATCGAGAGCGAGACATTAATGAACAAAAATGTTTCGACCAGTCTTTACACCCACCAAATGACAAACCTAAATATCTACGTTGCAAAGGTTTGAATTAGTATTTATGGAACTCTTGACATTGTTCTTCCAACGTATTCTTGATGCAGTTTATATTTTTCAGCAAAAAAACTTAAATGCTGGCGTCGAGATCGTTTAAATTGAAACCTAAAAAAATTCCAAACGGATTCATAGATTTCAATGCTACACTACAAAATACTTTGCATTGTCAATTGTTCAAACTATAAAAAGCACGCAACTGTGTTTTAATTTTCAGTAAACAATTTCATGAAACTCGCATTAGAATGAGACATTTTAAAATCCGGCTTTTACTTCCAAATTTGTTCAATTTGAAATAACATACAAATAATAATAACTCTAATTCATATCTCTTAAGCCAAAATCTGGAGTGACAGTTTAGAAAATTGTTATTCATCATAGCTTGATCTAGATTTGTCAATTTTTTTCCTTAAATTGAAATGTGATTTATTGTCTCTCATTGTTGAATAAATAATGACCAAATTTTTGAAAACGAGGTTTTCGTAAACATATATCAACATAAATATCTTTTGAAAGTAAAAGGTTGGGTCAAAGTTTTCTATTAACTTAATTTCTTAAAACTTAATTTCAATGTTTATGAGGTTTGTTAAACAGTTTACAAAATCAACACAAGATTAATCTTAAAAAACACATTTTAGAGATAGAAAAGGTTCTAATTATTAGTGCATAAAATAAATATCAATAAAACTTTGAATTGTTATTTAACTTCCTAATAAATTTTTACATATTCTCAGTGCATGAGAACGTGGGCGACCTGCGAATTATTTAATACCTAAACACAAAAGAAAAAAAAAGTTGCTTAGTAAATTCAGTAAGAAACAAAGTCATGATTTGTAGTTTTATTTATTGACAATGCTTTGAAAGAGGTTCAAGATCATAATTTGTTTATGAAACTGTTGATGAATTTATGAATGAATTCGAATGAAACCACAAACGATTAGAAATAATGAAAAAAAAAAAATCTTTTGCTTATGATGATTGATTTTATTTTATGTTTCAAAGACGTTAATAACTACACTTAAATGTACTCCAAATAACATTTAATCATAACTTTTTATTACTACCTAGATGATTCATTCATCCAATGCCAGTTGGGGTTCACCAGGTAGCAGTCAATATCATATTCAAACTGATGAAGGACCTGAGCGGTTTTTTCGTTACCAAACTGATAATGGACAATTCAGAAAAGAGAAACGTTTGCAAGATGGAACAGTTATTGGAACAAATGCATGGATTGATGGGTTTGGATATCTTCGACAAAACGATTACATTGCTGATCATGCTGGATATCGCATACTCAAAGCGAAAACTGTTTTTGTAGGCAAAGACCGCTCCATTGAGGTAAATATTTAATTAAATTATCCTACGCATCTTATCAAACTTATTTAAATTCTCAAAGGATGCAATGAAAGCTGCTAAAAAAGCTCCAGCAAGTTCAGGTATTCTGGTTCCCAGTCATCAAAGTCCCCCATCCGTCAATTATGTTACAACAACGCAAAGGCCAATTTCGACAACTTCTACATACTCTTCGAGTCCTGGATACTTTTATCCCAAATCACCAAATGTGTTCATTCAAACACATTCGCAACCAGATGAAGGATATTTCAGGACATCTAACAATTTCGATCAGCCTGCTATTTCAATACCATCAAATGACATTCAATCACCATCAGTAATTTATTTGCCACCTTATAAAGCGGGGACGTCAAATGAACTTCTTTCATCTTCCACTCCGGCACCTAAAATTACTGACGAGTCTCATTTACCTCCAATAGCTTATTATCCATCTTCAACTGAAAGCCCATTACAATTGAAAAACTACGTTTCTTCGACAACTGTAAAGCCAATTCAAGATGAATCGAATCTCCCGCCAATTGCTTATTATCCTTCGTCCACTCATAATCCTTTAGACGTTAATAACGTTCTTCCATTAGCAAGCACACCAGCGCCGATTTTGGCAAATGATTTGTCAAAAGATCTTCTCCCTCCCAAAGAATACGGAGTTGTATCAATTCAACCAAAGACACGATTTGCATATCGCCCCACTTACCAATATCAATCTACAACAGCCAGCCCTCATTTTGACTATAGTCGTAACACTATCGATTCGAATTCTCACCAGAATCCATCAAATGTTCCATTGTTTGATCGAAGCAAATATCAAGAAACTCCGTATTATGATGGCGTTGGAGTAACAGCTAACGGTTTCCGATATTATCTTCCACGACAATATCAAGAAGAAGTCAGTAATAACGATGGAAGCCGAGATGGGTCATTTGGTTATATTGATCCATTTGGTATTCGCAGAGTTATTTATTATAACGCTGGTAGAAATGGCTTTATTCATCGTAAAAATAATCGATATGTTGGTTTACACTCAACACCATACGATCCGAGACCGAATTAACAATCGACATACTCATAAGTCTACTTTTAAACTATTTTTATTTCCTTGCTGTCTTCCTACGAAACTTTCGCGTTGATAACGCTGCAGAATTGTGATTAATTTATTTAACATCATGTTACCTAAAAATAAACAAAATGTTACGAGAATTCTTGTTATTTCACATCCAGTTTAGATTAAACTTGAAAAATGAACATGATTTCACTGCTGTCAAGTGATTAAAAACAATTTAATTAATTAACAAATTAATCCAAGCTTTAAATGTACGAAAAAGAAAAACTGACCAATTTCCTTTAATCTAAGGAATTTCATTTTTACAAATAATATAAACTTAAGCGCCATAACACTTGAATAAGTTTAATATTCCATTCATTGTTAACATAACACATTTCTATGTTATATTAAATTGGAATTAAATTCACTTGCCATAAAATCCTTCATCACTCATAAATACTTTATCATATTTAACGTGGAAAAATTTCTTTTTAATCTTTCTAAGATTTCGATTTCAAAGAAATTTTTTAACGAGGTGGATATTAAAAAATATTTAAGTGAGTTTTTTTTTGCTGATAGATGCGTTCATTGAGCTGTTGAAATGTTTAAAAATTCTGTTTATAAATTTTAATTGAAAGTAAAATCTCACAACATTATGATTCGTGATATCAAAATAATGGAATGCAAACGATAAAATTTTCTAAGAAAGCTTTAATGAAATTCTGTCGCAAAGAAATCATTTTCGAACGCTGCCTATCTAATTAAAAATGTGAAAAGAAAAATTTTCCAATTAGATTTAAAATTTTTATCAAAGATATTTGAAATTAAAAGAAAATAAAACGAAAAGTTTTTTGAGTTTCCTTTGTTTGAATTTATGTTTTTAACTATTTTACAGAAGATATTTACGTAACTTAAAAACTTGACCACTTCGATTTCCAGTTACTGAGTATTTATTTTTATGTTGTTAGCCGAATTATGATTGTCATGTATTTATGTGCCATGACAAACGAAGATTCATAAATACCTTAACAAGAATGACTTGTTTTTAATAAAAAGTGGGGGAGGATTCAGACTTTTTCTTGTACTTTCCTATATATAAGACTTCAAGTTGATTTATTTGTTATCAGTTTTACAAGTTTTCGTGATTAAGTAAAACTAACATGGTAGATACAAGTATTTAAATATTAAATATTAAATTCATTCTTTCAGATTTATTTTGCAGAAATTAGCAATTATAGTTTGTTTATCAATTGTGTGCCAAGTCTTGGCCGCACCTGACAGACTTCGGAGAGATGTCACCTTTGCCAGATCAGAATTAAATGATGTTGGGCTTGTAGGAGAAAATTTAATCTTCCGAAATGAATATGGAACCCCCCATGAAGAATATGGAGTTCCACATGAAGAGGTAATTGAAGTTACTTTCGCTATTGAATGGTTATTAATAAATATTTCACAGTACGGAGTTCCACAAGCGTATCAGTCACCTCGGAATGATGACGTTCCAACGACAACTGCACAGTAATTATTTAATGAACTAATATTTATCTGAAAACTAATAAATTATCTTCCAGTTACTGTCCAGAAGAAGATATTGTACCACCATTTGCACCAGCTCCACCCCCACCAGAATCCTTACCTTTATTAGTTCCAGTTCTTCGTCAAGAAGAAAAACCTTATCCAACTCCTGAAATTCCAAAGGAAGAATATGGACCACCAATCGGAGGATATGGAGTTCCTGAAGATGTTGGCACTCCATTTATTCCAGCTCCAGCTGCTCCTGAACCCCTCCCTCTACCCACTCCAATTCTTCGTCAAGAAGAAAGACCTCATGAAGAATATGGACCACCAATTGGAGGATATGGAGTTCCTGAAGATGTTGGCCCTCCATTTATTCCAGCTCCAGCTGCTCCTGAACCCCTCCCTCTACCCACTCCAATTCTTCGTCAAGAAGAAAGACCTCATGAAGAATATGGACCACCAATTGGAGGATATGGAGTTCCTGAAGATGTTGGCACTCCATTTATTCCAGCTCCACCTGCACCCGAACCCCTCCCTCTTCCCGTTCCAGTTCTTCGTCAAGAAGAAAGACCTCATGAAGAATACGGTCCACCAACTCAACCACCAGTTTTCTTTGCACCTTACCCACCAACAGTAACAACAACAGTGTCAACGACTACTACTACAACTGAATTGCCACCTCCACCACCTCCTGTGCTTAAAGAATTGCCATACCCAACAACAACACTACCGCCAGCACCAGTAAGATTGGCGCCTTATCCAGAAGCAACAACAACAACTACCACAACGGAAGAACCGACCACGTCGTATATTTCATTTGCTCCGTACCCGCCACCAACAACCACGACAACCACAACAACAGAAGAACCTATTATAGTCAAACACACATATCCAGCAGCAATTCACTCAAAATACGAAACTGATTCTGGACTTCATAAACTTGTTTCAAAGATTACGCAACCTTTCTTTGCTCCAGGAGTTAGATCACCATACATCCAACCGAAACTCGTTTTTACAAAAAAAGCAATTGAATTTCCGGGATTGTTCGTGAACAAGAAAATCGTCGTCTGATAAAAGTTTTATGGACAAAATAATTTAAATGTGAAAAAAAAATATTTATTGAATTATGCAATAAACACCTTACGAGGTTTTTGAAAAATTAATTTAGTTTTTTAAAATGCAAGCTCATTATGCTGTTGGGCTCATTGATCAGATTTGTTATGCAGTCAAGTCGTTCTGGTTTCCCTTGCCATTGAACCTCGTAACACCTGAAAAGCTAAAAATAATTTCAATTGATTTATGTGTTGAATTAATTGAGAACTTTTCTTACTCGTATAAGAAATAAAAGGATGTTTTGTTCCGCTAGACGTCTAGCAATACACCCACGCATTCCGTGTCCAAATGGTAGAACAATGAACGGATGAATTTCTTTACGTTTTTCTCTGTCTGTCCATCTTTCAGGAATAAATTCCAGTGGGTTTTCGAAATATTTCTCCAATCGACAAATGATCATATTTTGTGTCACAACATTAGTCTAACAATATAATTTACATTAAAAACAAAATAAAGAAAATACTTCGTTATCTTACATTTTTTGGAACTAAATATCCGCTTAATATTTTATCTTTATTAAGAATTCGGCCAACACCAACAGAGATAGGATTCAACCGAAGGGTTTCTTTCAGAACAGCTTTTGTGTAAGGAACTCCTGAATCCAAAATTGATGCCGTAACAGGATCGTCAGCATTTGGTAACGCTTTAAAAATTTCCTCACGTAATTTATTTTGAATACGTTCGTCTCTGGAAATATAATTCAAAGCAAACAAAGTAGTGTAAGATCCAGTATGAATCCCACTATGAACCAAATCAAGAGCTATTCCATTCACATCTTTCATGTCAACATTCGAGTTTGCCATGTAATAGTCAAAAAGTGATTTTCCATTTGAGTCTTTCTTCTTTTTTGCAAGAAGTTTTAAAGCGACATTTTCAACATGTTTTAAAGCTTTCACAAGTTTCTTGTAATCAGATGTATTGAAAAATTTCCATAAACGAAAGCCCTGATCAGTCGGCAAAATTAATGAATTAATAATTCCTGAGTTTTCCGCTAATTTCAAACATTCTGAGTTGCTTGTTAAGTTAATGTCAGATAATGGTTCCAATTCTTCACCGAAAATCAGAAGCGTCATCAATTGCGTTTTCAATTTGAGAATTGGTATGGAAAAGTCATTAATAATGCTGTCTTTGTCAAAGCATTTTGGCATGTGATTGATGAATTCTTTAACAGTGACATCAGCAGTTGGAAGAAAATTACGAACATTCTTTGGCGAGGAAAGTCCCTTTTGAAACTGTGATCGAATCCTCCACCATTCTTCTCCATTCCTTAAATGTTATTTTTCTTTGTTTGAATCTAATTTGGATTTATGATTTTCAAGGTCACGGAAACATAATTGCTACTTACGTAGATAAAAGACCTGCGTTCTTATAAATGTGTGGATGATCAATTCGATACTTAGCTAAAGCTGAGTGACTTTCTCTCCGTGGATAATCTCCAACTTCTTCTTGATAGATCTTTTCAATATCATTAGGATCATAAAGCCACACAATATTAACGCCAGGGATCATTCGTTCACAAACTATTGAACCGTACTTTTGATATTTATCCATTCCAGATTCATGAATTTTAGTGAAACTATATTTTCCTGTTTAATTTATTGTTGTTTAACTTAATTAAAATATCAACATTTTAAGTTTATTTACCAAATAATTCAGAATAGTTAAAAATGTTGCCCAATCCAATAAATCCTCGAGGTCCAGGCATCATATCCAAAGATTTTAAACCTTTAGATGATGAAAGTTTTGTGTAAAATCTATTGAAAGAAATCTTACATCTTGAAGCCATTTTGATCAATTTTTCAACTACTTTCGTCAAAACGTCCTCAGATACTGCTCACTTTACAATTTTAATCTGACGTCTTCTTATTTCTTTCAATTTTCTCTTTTTCTTTCACATATGTTTCTTTGCAGCTGAGTTATAAATTAACATAAATGAATAGTTTCTCGTTTACCTGAGCTTTACATTAAAAACTTTGTTTTTTGGTGAGATATTCTAGGTAGGATTTGTACAGATATTCGAAACATTAAAATATTTAAACGATCTCGCAGAATGTTTTAAAAAATGCATTTTCAATTTTTTGTTTTCTTTTTTTATTATTTTCGTAAGTTTGATGTTCACAGTTCTTTTAAAACAATATTTACGAAGAAAATTTGATGTTTTATTTCTTAGCGGGCTTCTTTTTCACCACCTTCTTCTTTTTCTTAGCTCCCTCAGCTTTTGGTTTTTTTGCTGGCAATGGTTTCGTTCCTTTGATAGGTTTTCCAAAAAGCAAACCACTCTTTGATGCAGTTTTCTTTAATTTATCAAAAACTGGCTCGATGATACGATTCTTGGACCGTTTAACAAGACGTAACTTGAAACGTTCGAAGTCAGTAAGGTTTGAGCGCTACAATAAAAATATTTATGTTTATTCTGTATTTAACTAATGATAAATGTTATCAACTCACCATTCTCTTGGCACGAGCACGTTCTGCCCACAATGTCCCGCTCCATTTTTCTTTCAGCTTAAAATCCTCAAGAGCTTTCTTGACAACTCGAGTTGGTGCTGTGAATGGAAATTTAACAACGAACTTTGTCAAATGCAAATGACTGACTGGGTATTGTTGTCTTGGAACGCGAGTTAATGGACCATCGATGAGAACCTAAAACGAAAATAAAAAAATAAAATCTTAATATTTGCACTGTAAAGTAAGACATGTTTTAGAATAATTTTAATTATTCTCAGTTTTCATAAAAATTTTAATAGTTTTTTTTCTGCATGTATGTATAAGACGGCTCTTACTATTCTGGATCATCACAAAGTTAATAAAATAAAAACATTTATCATTTTTCACATGTTGATTATACTTACTCGATTCTGATCGATGATATCTACGATGGCTACCAACTTGCCCTTATAGCGACCGCGAGAGATTCTCGCAACTCGTCCAGTTTGCACAAATCTTGTGAAACCCTGAAAATATAACCAAACTTTTATGAGAAGAACATTTTTAAAGTTTAATTGTTAGTGTGTACATCCTAACAGGATATAATATTCTTCGTTTAAGAAGTTACCACTTTTTTAATGCATCTTATCTTTTTATTTAATAATTGGTAAAGAATATAATGGAAAAAGATGTTTTCTTTCCTCGTGGCTACTTATAAACAATTTCTTTAAAGAAATATTCACTTATTCTCATTGTAATCATGGTTATTAAGTCTGAATAAAATCTTAATAATTATTTAAAACAAACTTAGAGGCTTTAGGGAATTGTAGACACTAATAATTAATTATTTTCTTAAATTCAAAAATAATACAAACTTACCATTATTGAAACGGTTCAAAAAGGAAGAGTCTGTTTTTAGCGGCTCAAAGGCTAGACCATAAAACGGTTCAATCGGTTGCTTTGTTTCGAATGAACTTTTAAATTGTGTCAAATATAAAAGAAAAATCGAATTCAATTTACTGTTAATGTTAAATTAAGTTGCCATGGCTCAAAAACCAGCTTCAATTTTTATTAACCCAAAGTTTAAAAATGCACACATCAATCCAAATTTCCTTTCTAGAAGCAAAATCCATTTTAATCCTAAATTTTTGACAAACACTTTAGTGGACAATTCCTTATTTATTTCCGAATCTATACCAAAAGAGTCAGCATTACAACCAAAAATAAACAATGGTATCATAAAACAAACCAGACGAAGTTTAATTCGTGATCCTAATACTTCAAGGTCAAATGTTTTGTCGACCTCTGAACCAAACAACTCTAATTTTAAAGCCTCATTCAAGAACCAAAATCTAATTAAAATTAATAGAAACAAGCTCGTAAAAGCTACTCAACTCATGCAACATCAGCATAAAGAAAACGAAGTTATCAAGAAAAAGACTCAATTAATTCAGAAAACAAAAAGCTTGTTGAAACAAAACGAGCACAAATCTTCAATCTACAAACTCGATCGACGGAAAGATTTGACTCCTAAAATAAAAAAAATTGTTAGCACCTACTCCCTCCGTCAAGTTGATGCCATATCGCCAAAGAAAGCTTTCGCTCATGAAAAAGTTCTACGAATGTAAGTTTCGAAATATTTTCATTAATTAATACAAGTTGAATTAATAAATTAATTGTTTCATTTGGTTTGTAGTTCAAAGCTTTTATCAAAAACTGATGGATATAAAAATACGGTCATGATTGATATAAATGGTGTTCATTATAAATCAACCAGCAAAACTTTGACAAAAACATTGGTTCCTTTTGCAGATGAAAAAAGAAATTCTAATGAGAAAATGTTAATTATTCGAGGAGAAAAGTTTATTCTTGATACTTCTGGAAGAAAATTAAAAAGAAGTAGTGAAGGAAATGATTTCAAAATGTCTCGAATCGATATTGGTGGCTTAACTTACAAGGCATCTGAGAGTGGAGCATATGAACGAGACAACAGTCATCAAATAAGAAACCATTTAAGGTGAGATAAAAGTGTTTAATTTTTAGAAATTCATGTTTCTTTCAATGCTTTCTCAACAACCCTTCAATAAGCTTTGCGAGAATGAAAAGTATTTCATTTCTGGCTCGAAATCGACTTCAGAAAAGCAACATCATATGTCCGATTTATAGACGTCTAGGGAAGTGTTTGTCATATGCCAATGGAAGATGCCAAAAAGTTCACGATCAACGTTATGTTATCGTTTGTCCAAAATATCTAACAGGATCGTGTCAAGATGACAAGTGCATGCTTTCTCACAATGCGAACCTCCACAAAATGCCTGTTTGTAAGTTTTTCCTACAAGGTCTATGTCAGAAACAACGGAATTGTCTTTATCTGCACAAAAAGCTCACCGAGGATACAAAGTTGTGCAATGAATTCTTAAAAGGTTACTGTCCAAAGGCTGATAAAGTAAGAAAGCTTTTTTTATATAAATATCAAATGAGCTTTATTATTTTTTTTCTTATTAATTGTTCAGTGTACTCTTCTTCATGATTTTATGGAAACTCATAAGAAAAAGATTTTGGTGAATAATGGAAACTCAAAGAAAAAACTTATAAGTGAAAAAGGTGCAGAAAGGAATTTTTCCAAACATTCACGCTATCAGATAGATGAAAGTCAAGAATCAACAAGTAGAAATGTCCCTAAACGAGAAAAGTTGGGATCATTACCAGCATTTATTCCACTTTAATTGTTTTAAGACATGTTGGTGAGTAGAATGTGAAAATCTTCCCTTGTGCTTTACTGTCAAAAAACAAATTTTATGTTAGATAAAAAATAAAAGAAACAAATAAAAAACGATAAATGAATAATTAACATTTATTTTTAATATTGAAATAAAAAAAATTATTGGGAAAAATTTAAATCCATTTACAATCTGACGACGTCTTTCAGACGAGTCATAAACTCAACAAAGACTAGTTAATAACTTTCCTTCAGATGTGTTCAGTTGTGTGTTAATTTCCAATTATTCGGATGATTATAACTTAATAGAATTGGAAGATGAACGTACAAGCTCACATTTTCATAGCGAATCGTAAGAGAAATCTTTATCCAATCTCGAAGCCATTCAATCATCTCCTCGTTTCTTAAATTAGAAGGATTCAGGCCTCTGAGATAACAAGAATAACGAAGTGCGTCTGTAGTCAAATTATGAACACCGCCTTCACTTTTTATCGCAAGATCTATATGATGCATCGTATAACAATATTCTGACAAACGAAGACGCTTTAAATACCAGCTATGAATGCCATGAAGCTTACACAAGGACTTCAAATGAGATGAAGAAATCGTTCCAATGCTGTATGGTTTCTCATTGAATATATTCCGGACCGAAATTATCTCATCTGCTGTTGGATGTGTTCCACTTCCTAACAATCCTAAAATGTAATTCCACGTTTTGTAATGTTCTGAGCTCTTTGTCGATTCAAGTTTGGCCTGTAAGATACGAAAAATTTTTCGATTTACTGATGTTCGCTCCTTTAGGAAAAGATCTTGAAATTCAGATTTCTGCTGAATACTCCAAAAATGGGATGTCAAGAGTTGTCTTGGATACATGTAACTTTGATTATCGAATAATTAATTAAATATTCAATTTGTCTTTTTATATATATACTTACGCTAGAGGAAATATCACATAATTGGCAAATGGTAACGCAGATATGAGTAAAACCGGCGCAACTTTCATCATATCTCTCGGCATTTGCTTCCACAATTCCATTTCTTTTCTTGTCAGTGCCTTTATTCCTTTTTCTGATGAATTCATGATTGCGTTTACTTTGAAATATTTCTTCATATCGCTATAAAAGTCCTTAACTCCCACCATAAATACACGATAAACATGCATTGCGGCAGGAAAACGTTTCTCAAGAATTTTGTCATAGTTTGAAATGTAATTGAAAAATCGTGTAAAGAAGTATTGGCGAACATTTTCACGGCTGTATTTTTGTTGAAGCTGTTTACTTTCAGCTTTCACTAAGTCTCGAATTTTGTTATCCTTGCGCTCACTGAATAAAAAATAAGTAAAGTTGTTTTTATCCGTTCTAAAATTGAAGATGAAATCACCTCGAATAATATCTTAAGTTACGAAGATATGTAGATTGTCTAGAAAACCTATAGCCACTGTAGACACTGCGAAAAAGACATACAGACATTTCAGAAACAATCTGTAATGACTTTAAACCCCATCAATCGCTTTAGATGTGTATAAAGTTTGATCAGCAATTTGTTATAGATTTTGGGTAAATGCGACTCATAAAACCGTTTCGAATGTGTTCAGAAAATAATCTGATTCAAATAAATAGTCGTTAAATTTCAGAAAAAAATCATTGAAAGTGGAATTTAATAAAATTAGAATGTTTGAAATATATGAAGAAAATACCAAGTACAGTTCTTATATAAGTTAACAATAGTAATTTGAAAAATCATTGGGAATTTAAAAGATTTTATTTAAAAGAAATAATGTTATCACTTGTAGGAATTATAAATCGCACGTGGTCTGGAAATAAAAGTTTGAGGAAAAATTTTTCTCTCAGAGAAAAAGAAAAAAATTACGAGATGAAAAGTTTCGTTTCCAGTCTATGAAAAACCTTCAGAGAATGAAGATGTAGCAGATTTTCTTTTAAATTGTGCAAAAATATATTTCAATTATATGATGGTCAAAATGATATAAAACGATGAAAGTTTAGTGAAATAATATTTTTAAAAAGCTGTAACAAATGATGAAAACATTTAAATTCATTCCATGGAAAAGAAAACTTGATTTATTGACTTCAATTTCACCAGCAAAAAAATAAAATCGAATTCACTGTGAAAAGCAAAAATAAAAATTATTTCATTGCGAGGCATTTTACCTACAGCGTTACATTAAGAAAATTTATTTGAAATTCTTAATCACTACCAATTTGAGTGGAAATATATTTCACATAGTGATATTTCTCATACGAGTTGATTATGAAGAAATTGCTCGAGAAAAAAATTATTTCAATGAATGTTTATATTTTTTAAACTAAATAAACTTGTACCAGCTTGTGAATTTGTTTTTGGAAAGTTTTTCAAATAAGGGTCTGAAGTTAAAAGGAAGTGAATAAAATGGCAGTGAATATCCTTGATACGGATCACTTCGCAATATCAGGAATAATAATTTTAACAATTCAACTTATATTTTTCCTCGTCGCAGCCATTTTCCAGGTGGATAAATTAACAGATTTTGCTGGCGGGTTAAACTTTATTATCGTTGCTCTGCTAACTTTTTTCTTAGGACAAATAAATCGAACAAGCAAAGTAAGTTTTTTAAAAAAATTAATTTGAACTAAAATGGCTTAGATTTTAGATTTCTGCACTAAGTTTTTATTTCATTTTATTGAAATAAAATTTTCGTTTGTATAATCATCTCTCGTAAAATTTTGTTCCAAATGTTTCCATTTAAACTTTAAATTATCATCAATTAAATTCTTAGAAATAGAATTAATTTTTCTATGCTTCCGAATAACATCAAATAATTGTTTAAATAATAATATTATTAAAATACAAACTTTTCTTGGCTTCTGTTATGAAGCATGGTTAAACGATCAAATAGAATATTAAGTAAAGTCTTAAATCTTGTTATTAAATTCTTCGAAGATGAAGATAGCAAATATTTATCAAGGATAAACGATTATGGAATAGCAGATTGATAAGATAATGAAAAAAATGTATAAGACGGTGTCTTTGAATCAGATATTGGAAATCGATAAAATATTGAAAGAATGAGTAAAGAGAGAAACATAATAAATTTTGCATCGAAAAACATAAATATTTTATTGCTCGTATAGCATAGTAACGTTAATATAAAAATGATTAGATAATAAATACAAAGTGGTAGCAACGACGGTAAGTTAGTGGAGTGACAATATAGCAATCAAAACATGATCATGCTTAATACGCACATCACAGTCTCATTGTTGTTTTAGGATGTATCATATATGTGAGATATGTTTTAAAACAAAGAAAAATTCCTTGAAATGTTGATAAAGTTATTATATGTATGTATGATTTGTACGGTTAGCTTATTGTTATCAAAATTGTAAACATTTGACATTAAAGCACTTATGAGAAATTCTATTTTACGATGAATGAAATTGTTATAAAATATTTATTATGTTTACGAAAACATTTCTCACATTCACAAAATTTATCACAACCATTTATTAAAATATTTGAAAAATAAATTAGATTTCAAAGAAAGCATGTCTTAAAATCAACATGACGCATGTAATTACTGAGATAATGTCACGTTATTGGTAAAAATACGCAAGGTGGACACGGCGTGTTCAAGCGTGAAGTGCGTTATTGTGCATAGATTACAATTTTTTCTGGGAGAATATTTTTTGTCAAAGAAAATGATGTTCAAGATATCATGAAGCTTTAAATTCTTTATTTTATTTCTATGTTTTTCGTTCTAGAATTATGATTCTAGACAACTTATGGTGACAGTGTTCGTCTGTTTATGGGGAGCTCGTCTTTCAGCATACCTTCTATACCGAATTGTTAAGGTTGGGCGAGACAAGCAATTCGAGGATAACAAAAGAAATATCATACGCTTCGCAATATTTTGGTCGTTTCAAGTAAGGGAAAATTCAAACAAGTAAAATTTATAATTTACATTCAAATATTTTCCCATTACAGGCGGTTTGGGTGTTTGTAGTGTCACTTCCCGTCATCATTGTAAACTCGCCTCGCCATTCACAACCAAATGCACCCAAAACAATGACACATCTGGATTCAACTGGAACAGGAATGTTTATTTTTGGACTTCTCACCGAAACATATGCTGACCTACAAAAATTTTCATTCCGCCAAGATCCAGCAAATCAGAGAAAATTTTGCAATGACGGTATGACGGTATTTAAAATCTAAATCTTGTTGCTTAATCTGATATTCTGAGAAATTATGAGATATTCGTGATTTAAATTTAGATTATAAACTTTACTGCAACGCGTGACACGATTGAGAATAACGTGGAGGGCAATGACGTAAATCTCAATATTGTCGAATCTTCAATTTCTACTAAGCAAATTTTAGGATAATTTAATTTGTTAGAACCGCATAAATTTCTTAAAATATTGCAAGATAGATTAAAGAAATATAAATTACCTAAATTAGTGAGATTTTCCTTCATTTGTCTTAATTTCATGATGAAATTAATTAATTTTTTGTACCTTCACAACATAATTAATTTTT